TGTTAGTATAGTAATTGTATATTAGTAATTATTAAAACCACATGCCTATTAATTTTCAGTTTTGAAAACTTAGGAAATAACTAATATCCACAGTTTGTATAACTTGCTTGGTACTCTGTGTAATGTGCTCTTAGAACAAAAAAACCTCTGTAACACATCAATTTTTCCTAATCGTGTTTCCAATTAAAAACATTACTTTTATTTATTTATTTATTAATTCATTCATTCATTCATTCATTCAGAGAGAAAGAGAGAGAATGAGAGGGGTGGGTCAAAGAGAGGGAGAGAGAGAATCCCAAGCAGTCTCCGTGCTTGGAGCCTGCCTTCGGTTCAGTTTCTTGAACTGTGAGATCATGACCTAAGCTGAAATCAAGAGCTGGATGCTTAATCAACTGAGCCACCCAGGTGTGACCAAAGTGTTCCTTTAATAACACTTTAAAAAAAAATTTTTTTATTTAATTAATTTTTTTAAATTTACATCCAAGTTGGTTAACATACAGTGCAACAATGATTTCAAGAGTAGATTCCTTAATGCCTTTCACCCATTTATCCCAGCCCCCATCCTACAACCCCTCCAGTAACCCTCTGTTTATTTTCCATATTTAAGAGTCTCTTATGTTTTTGTTCCTCTCCCTGTTTTTATATTATTTTTGCTTCCCTTCCCTTATGTTCATCTGTTTTGTATCTTAAAGTCCTCACTGGAGTGAAGTTATGATATTTGTCTTTCTCTGACTAATTTTGCCTAGCATGATACCCTCTAGTTCCATCCACGTAGTTGTCCTTTAATAATACTTTAGTAAATTATTAGTAAATTTTAAAATTAAAATTCTTAATTGTACTAGATTATTCTTAATCACTTAAGAGTATTTTGGATGAGTGACAGACAATGTAAGAAATTTTATTTTTAGAGTTGGGGGAAAGGTTTCATTTGGTTAGGGATTACTTGACTTGGAGTTGTTAACAGTTATGGAAATAATTCTCTCTTAACCTCATTTTATGAACTTCTGCCAGTGATTTTGGAACACATCCAAAACTATTAAAGATGTTTTGTAGCTAACTTTAAAACAATTGTTGACCTCAGACAGCAGACCCGCAGAATAATTTTTTGTTTGTTTTCTTTTTACACTCGTTCTGGAAAAGTGAAGAAAAAATAAAAATCAGTTCAAGAAAGCAGCCAACAGAGACTTTTCCTAAAATCTGTTAGTAAAATGTTGATATAAAATCCAACATTTTGTTTTCATAAAATTACTGGGTACAAGTTAAAAGAAAAAAAACAACACGCAATATAAAACTGAATTCCAAGGCCAGAAAGGCTTGAAACAAGACAGAAATCTTATAATAAATAATTATTTCTTTTAAGATTCACAGCTCTCTGTTTAAATAAGTTCATCATAGATGACCCACACATTTTTAATATTTTTACTTAAATAAAAGCAAGACTAGCAGTGAACAGAACCAGAGGAAGCAACATAGCTGGAAGACAACACTTAAAATCAGAGATAAATATTCAGGTATCAAAAAGTAGTATTTCCTTATTAATTTACTAAAACTAATCCCCTTTATAATTTTTTGGCCTTCATAGTTTTGCCAATCCTCTCTTTTTTTGTATCTGGGATACATTTTTCTATTCATATATGTATATATACAGGTTCTGAAGAAATTGATAAAATTTCTGAAGTTAACAGCTGTTACTTTTCCATAAAACTTTTAAAGTGATATTTGAAAATTTAAGAAATCTTTCTCAAAGGATGTTTTAGTAAGTAGGAAACTGGAATTGAGAAGAGGGGAAAATAATTGAACCCAGTGCTAAATCTTCCAATCTCAGATTATACTAACGTTTACCTCAAATGAAAGAAGACTCAAGCCTGCTGAAGAAAATAAACTTTCTCAGTAGGCAGTGCAGTGTTTGAAAAGTTCAAAGATGTGATGATGTGGAGGGAACAAAGATGCTCTTTTTCTGTTTTACCCAGCTTTCTCCCTCCATTGGTTTCTAGGGAATATAAGTCTTCATTGTTTTGTCTAAAAAAGGTACTAAAATAGTTCAAAAATCACAAGAAATGCCTGTCACAATCAGAACGTCTCTGAGGGCACTAATTTACACATTGCTAATGGAGAAAAGAGGCTTTTTTAAAGTGAGCTTTGAAAGTTTCACAGAAAAATGGTTTGGAATCAGAATCATTAGAAAACCACCCAGCGATCATGTGGATCTAATGCAGCAAGAATGTACGAGGTCCTGGCTTTTTGGGTTGGCCAGCTTAGTGTCTTCCCTCTCGATGATCTCTGGAGATTTGGACTCTACCTTCGGGATCGACAAAACAAAGTTGAGGAAGCAGAGGAGAAATCAGAAAAGAGAGGCAAATAGGGGTGACGGTGGGGTTCAGAGGACTATGGGACCTATTCTGGTATGTGACAGAAGTAAATGGAAAAGGGAAAAGGGAGATACTTAAGATTGCTTGGATGCCTTCATTTTTTTTTTTTTAATATACAAGCAAAAGTGACACTGTGAAATCACTCTTTGGTGACCTGACTCCTCTCTGAGACGAGCCACATAGGTCTGCTGTATATAAATATATTTACAACTGTGGGGTCGCCTGGCTGGCTTAGTCAGTGCAGTGTGCGACTTTTGATCTTGGGGTTGTGAATTCAAGCCCCATGTTGGGTGTAGAGTTTACTTGAAAATAAAAATCTTAAAAAAAAAAAAAAATATATATATATATAGAAAATATATTATATATTGAAAATACATATTTTCAACTGTCAATAAAAAAGACCAGCTCAATTCTACATTCTTTGCATAGACACCAGCTTTGCTGACTTGCCTAATGAAGATGTTTGCAATTTAGAGGTATAGAACCTGAATAGTTGTGCAGTGTTAGACAGGAGAGCTAGACAGTTGAGGCCTTTAGGTTTCTAAGAATTTTAATTTCACAGTTATATTTGCTGTCCAGACTTCTAAGGGAAAGAAAAAGAAGGAAAGTTATCCAAAACAGCATGTATTCCTTAGGAGTGATGAAGGCCAGCATAGGGAAGATTAACTTATAGGTCAGTGTACATATAGGTGGATAAATCAAAACTGGCGTGTTTTGTGAAACAGTTTTCCTCCTTCCCTGAAATGTAATAAATTATTTCATAGTTAAGAAATTCTAGGGGGGCCTGGGTGGCTCATTCAGTTAAGCATCTGACTTTGCCTCAGGCCATGATCTCATGGTCCATGAGTTCAAGCCCCGCATCGGGCCTGTGCTGACAGCTCAGAGCATGGTGCCTGCTTTGGATTTTGTGTCTCCTTTTCTCTCTTTCTCTGTCCCTCCCCTGCTCATGCTCTGTCCCTCTTTCTCTATCAAAAAGAAACAAGTATTAAAATAAAGTTTTAATTCTTGGTTCTACTACTTTGTTATTGAAGTCTTAATCATGCCTACCACACAGAGTTGTTGTGAATAATGAATTTTATCAAATAAAAAAAGTAAAAGCTCTTTTTAAAATGTAAAAGTTCTTTTTAAAAGGAAAATTTCTGTGTGGTTTTATGAAAATGATGATCTCACCATCATCATCATCATATCATCATCATTATCCTGAGAGGGGAAGTGCCTGTCTTCAACCCAGATTCACAGCTGTAACAGGAGGGCGTGGGAAGTAACAGATGGGGGGGCGGGGGTGTGGACCGAAGACTGGGCTGGGTTCTCAGTTGGTTCCTTCCTCACCATGGGACCCTGGGGAAGTCAACTGCTGAGTCTGAAAAGGAACACATCCATCCGAAGGTCTCCCGGGCCTTTTCCAATCCCAAGCTCAGCCAGTCTGTGATTTGCATCCAGCACCTCTCTGGCTTTACTTCTATCTATTGTAATTTGCATAATCAAAAAGCAAAGCTCTCACAGAACACAGAAGTGCCTTCATCATGCCACAGTTCCGTGTTGCATGCTAACCCTTCAGAAACTACGGAGCCAGAGATCATCTGCTCGTAGAGCGATGCTGACTCTAACAACAGCACAGCGATGACAGGGCTCATCCTTCTGGGCAATGCACTTTGTACCAGGACCCAGGCTACAGAGTCCTCCTTGGATTCGGGTCCTACAAAGTGCATCTCTGAATAGATGCAGCTGCTTTCCATTGCTGAGAGGATAAAAGCCGTGTAAGTTAGGATGTGCCTCCTTTGGCCACCACTGCTGGAAATCCTAAAGGGCAAACAGTGCCCTGGTGCTGACAATCCATTCAATTTGGGCCCCCGGGGCAGGTCGACTTTGTTTCCATTCCACATTGCCCTGTCCTTCACCCATTTCTATTTCCTAAGTCATCTCAGAGCTTTTAGAAGCCATGGTGGCTGGAAGGGGGAGGGGAGAATAAACCCTATCATAAAAAGTGAGATTTTCCTACACATGAAAATAAAATAATTAGAAAAAAAATTAGCCACCATAATTGGTCAGTCATTTCAATCCTGTAGACCCGTCCTGGAAATTCTGGAAATGTTAGGGAGAAAAATAAAGATGTTCTGCTTATATTTTTCATAAAAATTGTATATATAACGTAAATATACAGTATGTATCGTATATATGTTTTATAGTAAAAAATATGTTAAATGTCCCATTTCTTTATAAGTATAATCAAGGGATAAGTTTGTAAAGCAACTTAAACTCTTAAATTAATTAGCTTTTATCTTAAACGGGCAATACCTTAGGCACTGGATTGCATATTAAGCTAAATTAAGGACAAAAACGCCTATTTAACAACCAGGCTTGTGAAATTGTGTTGTCTTTCATGGAGCCCTAATAGATTCATGGGTTTTGCTTTGTGAAAGGAAAGCAGAAAAACACAGTACAAAAAAATGAAAGAGACATACAGTCTGGCTTAGCTTTACTTATTTTGATACTTCAAAACCTATGGGTTATGAATGTGTGAAGGAGTCATCCAATGCTAGGCCCTTTTTCCTTATGGTTACATTCCATTCAAATATTTGCAAGTGGCCATTGGTGCTATTTTAAATTATCTTTTCTGTTTTAATCTTTCAGATCATAAGGCCTATGGATTCTCTGCCCCAAGAGACCATCGAGTAATCACAGCAATAGAGTATCAAGGTAGAGTAATTTGACTGATTTTTCACGGGCTGTGTTATCTCAAAAGTATGACGCATATGATGTTATCTTTCTATTTGTTGGGACCCTCTGCCTTACTTTACCCTAATTTTTCCTTCCAAAATGCTACTCTGTGCTGTTTCCACTTGAGAATTCTTTTTCCACCTCTTCAGTGGAAATTTTGGATGTATGATGAAAGACCTGATGTACAAAGGAGGCCTCTTATTGTGTAAATTATCTGCAACAAAGCAAATCTAATTTGTGAAGCTGGTAGATGGAGGTCTTTCTTGCAAAGTTTCCAGCCAGCTGGATATGGCAAATGGAAAGTAACACTGCACACCCGACTCAACTTAATGTATTTAACATGACATTACCATAGCCTATTTTGGGGTACCATTTTGTTATTTATTTTAGCTTCTTAAGTATATTTATAACAGGGGGTTGGTGTTTAATGGCTATAAAGCTTCCTTTTTGCAAGATGAAAAAGTTCTAGAGATGGGATGTTTAACAATGTGAATGTACTTAACACTACTGAAAAATTAAAAAATCATTAAGATGGGAATAAGTTAAAAATGGTTAAGATGGCAAATGTTATGTGTATTTAACCACAATTTAAAAAAAAAAATGTAAAGGCTCTAGTAATCAAGGAAAATGTTTTAAGGGCTTTATAAGCTCACTTCAAATACTGACTCCCTACTACTTTCCTGAGGGCTCTTTTACCCAGAACAGAATAATACTGGGCAAACAGAAGAATTGCTGTTTCCTAAGTATGATGCTTGTTTAGGCTAGAGATTGTAAACATTTGAGAAACAAGTTTCAAATGTGTCTGATCCCTCTTCTTCAGGCATGTTCTAGGTTCCTGGAGTGTAGAGAGATAGGTTTGAAGGAAAGAGACCTAGATTAAAGAAGAGAACTGGGTGGGGAGGAACCAAGTAGATTAGTATTTAACTAGTACTGGCAATAGTATAGTGCCTGGCTCTTGGTGTTGTATGTGCTTGTTCAGTAAGAATAACGCTATAATAAACAGCAGCCAGCCAGTTCAAAAGTAACACATCACTTGATAACAAATCAATTAAATAAGTATTTCAGTTAACTGAGTTCTTTTACAAGTCCTAATATTTTATATGATTAATCTAATAAAACACTTCCTTTTTATTATGAATTAGCTTTCTGTGGAGAGAAGTGGGAAGAGCAAATTAATGATTGGGAGTAATTTAGGGCTACGGAGGATAAACTGGGCTAGAGGAAAAGATTGGCCAGGATTCTGTGAGGGACAAAGGAAGTGAATTGTCCTACTTTGTACTTTCCTGGAGGGTCTCACTGTTGGGGCCAGCTGGATATCATGAATACACATCCCTGCCCTGACTTCTGTCCAGGCCCTAGGGCAAGTGAGGACTCTTCAGTCTTCAGTTACTTTTTAAAAAATGTATTAAGATGAGGGGCGCCTGGGTGGCTCAATCGGTTAAGCAACCAATTTTTAATCTCAGCTCAGGTCATGATCTCACAGTTTGTTAGTTTAAGCCCTGAGTTAGGCTGTGCACTGACAGTGTAGAACCTGCTTGGGATTCTCTCTCTCTCTTTCTCTCTGTCCCTCCCCTGCTCTCTCTCTCTCTCTCTCTCTCTCAAAATAAATAAACTTAAAATGTCTTGAGATGAAATTCACATTCAAGTGAGTGACTCAGTGAGTACATTCGCAATGTTGTGTAACTACCACCTCTGTCTAGTTACAAAAATTTCCATCACTCCAAACTAAAATCTTGTACTGTTTACATTACTTGTTAATGTGTGTTTTACTTTTAATGTAAAAAATCCTTCTATAATGTACTGCAATCAAATGTTAGTATTACTTACTCCCAAGTAACTATTTTCTGTTGCTTTGTCTCCCCTCTGCTCCTTTTAATCAAGAATTATACTTTGATTCTATTTTATATGTGCTCTGGTCATTCCAACCTAACTCTCCTTAAAGGCAAAAATAAATTTCTATCATCGTCCACATTTTAGTTGCAGGATATCTCATGCAGCAACTTAATTTCAGTTAAAGTCTAAAATACTTTATAATTTATGTCTATGTGTAGGTATGTTCTACCTCATTCATTTCATTTTTTGTTTCTTGTCTCTCTCATGTCAACAAATCATGAATTAATTCCATCTTTTCAGTGCCGCTGTTTTGTGTCACTTCCCTTAGCGGTGCCAAGAACAGAGCAAGACTGATGTGAGAGCAGCTTTGCTAGGCTTATAAATTATATGAGCACCCTTTATGCAGAGTGTCCAACCCTGAGAATCATAAATCAGTTTAATAGAATGCTTTTTTTTTTTCATGGAAGGAATTTCTTCGTAATTCTTCAGAACTGCTTTGGTAGTATCAATTCTGTTTTTGCCTTATATGAAATTTTGATGATTTTTAACTTGAGCACAGAGAATGAAATCCAAAGATAATTAGCAGTTCAGAATCCTACAAAAAATAAAAGTTCATAGTGCCTTCTATAGATGTGATTCCTAAAAGTGACTGTTCCGCTACATGAAAGTAGTTATTGCTAATGGTTCTTCTAAAAAAGATATCTCTGTCCTCGATACAAAGGAAACATACTGTTGGAAATGAAATAATCATCTTATTAAAAAAACATGGTGCGTTTTTGTGCTTCAGTATGCCTTGCTTTGAGAAAATATGATTTATGTCTGTATCATAGTCTTTGGTGTCTAAAACTGAAATAACATGTTAGTTCAAATTTGAGTAATATTTAGGTAAATTTGGGTTGTATAAAGCATGGATTTCTATCGTGTCAAGGCATACTTCAACTACAACAACAAGAAGTTTCTCGTGAGTGAAAGCAATTACAACCATTGATGGGGCACATTCTGTGTACCAACTATGTAAGTGTATTACCTCGAGTATATAAGTGTAATTTTCACAATAACTTTATAAGATTAACACTGTCATTTGTTTCCTTTGTACAGATGTGAGTATAATGTTCAAAAAGAGTTAAGTAAATTGCCTAACATCACACACATTGTATATAGCAGAGCTCCAACTTCAAAGTCTATGCCTTAAACTATTACATTATGGTTTGATAACCCTGAGGGCTACCTACAGAATTATACTGATCCTAAGTGTTGCATTTTAGCTGAAAAGAGAGAGAAGAGTCTGTGGTAGTTAGCTTCTCCGTTCATTTGGTTCTTTATCCTCATGTTGAAGCCATGATTCCATTTGGCTTACTGTTTCTCACAGTTCTGGAGGTCATGATGCTGGCCCCTTCAGATCTAGGCGCTGGCCATTGCCTTGCTTAGAATACTCCCATGGTGAAGTCCAATTTTGAATTCTAGGAAATTTGTATTCAAATTTTAAGGAATTCTAATTTCTTTTATTAAGTCTTTGGTCAAATGTCACTCTCTAATTGAGTTGAACTCTGACTACTCTGTTTTGTTTGCAGTTGCATCCCAAAATTCCTGATGTACTCTATTTTATTTCCATAGCACTCATACTCTATTCTGATTTACTCTACTTTATTTCCATAGTGCTCATTCCCTCCTAATGTGGCATTTACTTCACTTTATGATATTTCTTATGTACCTGACTCCCCCTGCAAGTTACAAGACCCAAAAGAACAGGTATCTTTGTTTTGCTCACTGATAGAGCTCAGGAATAAGGGTGGGCACACAGTAAGCACTCAATGGTTGGACAAATTGGAGAGGCCATTCCTCCACAACTTACATGGTCATTGTGAGTGAAACTGGAGTGGTGTCCCTGTATTTATATAGTGGTTCATTTTTTAATATAATTTCTACAGAGGTTTTCCATAGAGCAACGAGGAGAAAAGTCAAATCTTGGTGAAAAGGGCTGTGTGTGTGTATGTGTGTGTCTGTCTGTCTTCTGTGTCTGTGTGTCTGTATGTGTTTCTAGATAAATATATGAACAGTGTGACTGAGTACAAATTTATTCCTAAGATGTAGGCATGTGGGCTAAAAATGAGTGTGACTGTGTGTTTAATTGTTGGAAACTCAACAAAATACGGGAAGGAAACCTATCTAAAACTCAAGACTCCGGAAAGTCACCACCCATTCTCCTTAATCAACAGAACAGAACCATGTTTCCTCAGACAAGTCCCTCAGCACACATTTGTCTTTGTAGCATTATTGTAAACACGTCTGTAAAATGATGTCTCTTTGTAATGTAAACCTTCTCTAAAAACTTCAGGCATTCTTGAAGTTTTGTGGTTTTTTTTTCCCCCTTGCCTTTCTTTTCTCTATTCTCCATTCTATTTTTCATTACCTTTTATTCTATTTCTAACAATTTATGTGAAACTAAAGAAAAATTAGAAGCTACATGTAACAAAAAGAAAAACCATAATCCTATCACACAAAAATCATCACTGGTTTAATATTTTCATACATATTCCCACAGGCTTTTTGTCCATATCTGTGTATATAATAATAAAACCTGGGAAAATACAAGTATTGCTCTCTAATCTACCATATCATGTACTATCCTGAATTCTTTTTTAAAATGGCATTAAATCTGGGGCACCTGGGTGGCTCAGTCAGTTGAGCATCCGACTTCAGCTCAGGTCACGATCTCACGGTTTGTTAGTTCAAGCCCCATGTTGGGCTCTGTGCTGACAGCTCAGAGACTGGAGCCTGTTTTGGATTCTGTGTCTCCCTCTCTCTCAGCTCCTTCCCTGCTCACACTCTGTCTCTTGCTCAAAAATAAACATAAGTTTTTTTGTTCAAATGGCATTAAATCTCGTACATCAAAAAAAGAGGAATGGAAAGGATTTCAACATAATTTCTCTTCTAGTCAAAGATTAGTGCTTTTGGGGTCAAACTGTATGTATTGTGGGAGAAAAGTCTCAGAAATATGAAAGTGACACTCTAGATTGCCTAATTGCAATATTTACAATGAGAGATTCCTTTTGGCAACTCAGAGCAGACACAGGATTTCTCCCCACCTCAGTCATCTTGTTTGGACAGTTTAAAGTGGGGGTTCCTTCAAGGTTCCAGGAATTCTTTAAAGATAGGATTGCAGTAAATTTCCTGTAATAAAGTAACTTAAATGAACTACAAGGAGGCTGTTAAACTTGATGCCAAAACTAAATCTTTTCATAATTTATCTGGATAGCGATAAAGAGTAGGAATCCATGATTTAACAGAAGTCCATACCAGGTGTGTATTCATACATCCATAGAGAGGGTTGTCGAAGAAGGAATCTGAATGAGAATGTAGCTTGTTGATGGAATGTTTACGGATTCCACAGGCTGGACTAGGTGCCTTTCTGGGGCACTAGGTGTGAAGCACCCTCTGTTAACCTCCGTGGCCCTCATGGCATTTATCACAATGGAGCAAAATTACATGATCTTGTTTGCCTCTTCCACCAAACTGTTACCCCCCTGATGACTGAGGCTGGGAATAGTGAGATAAATCATTGACCATGACTGCCATCTTTAGATTAGTTACTATGTCCAGGCATGTGTGTTTTGCATATATTATTTGAAGACTCACTTGAACTCTATGAAATACTGTCTTATTTTACAGATGGTAACTGAGGCTCAAGAAGTAGGGTCAGTAACATAGTGTCATGCAATTATTATGGAGAAGAGCTATACTGCTCTCAGGGTTCATCTTTGAGTCAAGCCAACATGGAGTCTGTTGAAGTGATTTATGAATGAATGAATAAAAGAAAGGAAGGAAGAAAGAAGGAAAGAAAGGAAAGAAAGAAAAGCGATACTTAAGGCTATTTAACAATTTACTAAGTAAAATATAAATTCATAGGGACAATTAGAAAACAAATATTTTTGTTGTTGTTCCTAGAGGTTATATTAGCCTGCAAACACACAAAGAAGACCATATCCTCCAGATTAGAGTGGAAGAAACTGGGACGGAGTATCTCCTTGATCTACTATCAGCAGTCTCTTAAAGGTAAGAAGCTGTAGACTTGATGAGGTGAGAGCAAGAGAACACCAAGTGCAGCCTAGATTGTTTAATTTACAAATAAAAACAGGACACTATTGGGACTACATCAAAATAAAAAGTTTCTTCAATGAAGGAGACAATTAACAAAATTAAAAGGCAACCTATGAAATGGAGAATGTGGGGGGGTTATCATTTTATGTTTTATTATTTTATTTTATTTTTTCATCATGATAACTATACTCTTTAATCCTTATCCCATATTTCCCCCATTCCCCTACCCATCTCCCCTCTGGTAACCATCAGTTTGTTCTCTATAATTAAGAGTCTATCCCTTGGTTTGTCTCTGTTTTTTTTTTTTTTTTTTTCCTGTGCTCATTTGTTTCTTAAATTCCACTTATGAGTGAAATCATATGGCATTAGTCTTTCTCTGATTTATTTCTTTTAGCATAATAGCCTCTAGCTCTATCCATGTTATTGTGAATGGCAAGATTTCATTCTTTTTATGGCCAAATAATATTCCATTTTGTAAATATACCTCATCTTCTTTATCCGTACATCTATCAATGGACACTTAGGCCACTTCCATAATTTGGCTGTTGTAAATAATGCTGCAATAAGCATAGGGGTAAATGTTATCTCTTTGTCTTAGAATTTTTGTATCTTTTGTGTAAATGCCCAGTGGTATGATTCCTGGACCGTACGGTAGTTCTATTTTTAATTTTTGAGGAACTTCCATACAGTTTTCCACAATAACTGCACCAGTTTGCATCCCTACCAGCAGTGCACAAGTGTTCCTTTTCTCTACAACTTCACCAACACTTGTTGTTTCTTCTGTTTTTGATGTTAGCCATCTTACTGGTGTGAGGTGGTATCTCATTGTAGTTTGGATTTGCATTTCCCTGATGATACATGTTGTTGAGCATCTTTTCATGTGTCTGTTGGCCATCAGTATATATCTTCTTTAGAGAAATGTCTGTTCATGTCTTCTGACCATTTTTATTTTTTTATTATTTATTTATTTATTTTTTATGTTTTATTTATTTCTAGGAGAGAGAGAGAGAGACAGCGTGAGCAGGGGAGGGTCAGAGAGAGAGGGAGTCACAGACTCTGAAACAGGCTCCAGGCTCTGAGCTGGCAGTCAGCACAGAGCCCGACGCAGGGCTCGAACCCACGAGCTGCGAGATCATGACCTAAGCAAAAGTCGGACGCTTAACCGACTAAACCCCAGGCGCCCCTTCTGACCATTTTTAAATTGGATTATTTGTTTTGGGGTATTGAGTCATATTGGTTCTTTATATATTTTGAATACTAACCCTTTAGCAAATATATCATTTGCAGATAAACATCTTTTTCCATTTCACAGGTTGCCTTTTAATTTTGTTAATTGTCTCCTTCATTGAAGAAACTTTTTATTTTGATGTAGTCGCAATAGTTTATTTTTGCTTTTATTTCTCTTGCCTCAGGAGATCTCTCTAGAAAAATATTGCTATGGCCGCGGTCATAAAGATTATGGCTTGTGCTCTCTTTGAGGATTTTTATGGTTTCAGGCCTCACATTTAGGTCTTTAATCCATTTTGATTTTATTTTTGTGTGTAGTGAAAGAGAATATGTTTTGTAAGTATGAGATGAAGCCAACAATGACTGAGACCTAGAAAACAACACCCTAAAAACAGGACAGAGAACAGAAGAAGGTGAACTCCATGGAGACCCTGGACCCTTAATGTCTTAGCTCATTGGTAAAGGATGTAAAATGCAATTATTATTGCTGGTGCAGTAGATTAGACTCTTGAGAAAAAAGGAACAAGAGATGGTATGGAAGTGAGATGGAGGGTCACTGCTCAGTTGTAATCATGTTACCCTATTTCTATATCACTATCTAGAAAGCAAAGCCATCACTGAGAAGACTAACGAGTCAAGACTTAGACTTCTGGTGAGGAGGGCGGGTAGAGGATAAATACAACTACCTTTAACTAGGGCTTTATTTTTAATTTGTTATACATTTCTTTCCACTTCCTGTTTTTCCTGTTGAATATGTAATGAGCTTTTAAAGTATTGATTATATTAGATGAAATGCTAAAATACTTTACCTCAAAATAATTCAGTGCTCAGAAGTAAAAATAGAATAAAAATGAAGTGACTTGAGGAAGGTAGTTGCATTATTCTTAACATCATTGTCTTCCTTTCCAAAAGGTGATTTTAAACATCGAGCTGAGATGATAGATTTCAGTATACGGATCAAAAATGTTACAAGACATGATGCTGGGAAATATCGTTGTGAAATTAGTTCCCCATCAAAGAAAGGCCAAAACCTGGAAGAAAATACGATCATTCTGGAAGTACTAGGTATGATGTGCTTGTATCTCTGGGACTACTGTTCCTCACCCTTATCCCCATCACCCAGCCCTGGGGCAATGAGGCAACCTGGGTCTCCAGTCAGGAAAGTTCTAGAAATTACCACCTTTCCTTCAAAATCTTGACTATATCTCCTTTCACCTTGTTTGCTGCTGAAATTTTACTTTTACTAATTTGTCTGACAAAACCTCTTCTCGTTTAAGATTAAGGTAAATCTTAACGGCTCTATCCTGTACATAAGAGCATTTCCCCTAAGAATTTAATTTTCAGAACCTTTCAGTATATGTGGCATATCTCTTACCATGCAAAATCCTATCACATAGGATGATGGAAAAGCAATAAAACAAAAGAGTAGGCCAGAGAAAGAGTTAGAAGTTATTTGATAAAGAGGGGAAATGACCATTTACTGTCCAGCTAGTTGTGCTAGCCTCTTTTACATATGTAATTTTACTTAATCTTCATAACAGATGAGAAATTAGAAGCTAAATGATTTTCCCAAGTCTACGGAGCCATTAAGTGTCTGGACCAGGATTTGGATCCTGGTGGAGTTGACTCCAAAGCCAATATATTTAGTTAGTATGAGAATCATTGATAGATACTAATAGCTCACAATGACAGTTGGTGTAGAAACATGATCTTTTCTTCTCCATAGATGTTAATATAAACTGTTGATCACAGACTCAAATAACTCCTCTTCCTTTTTCCATACTTAACCCAGGGTCTTTCTAAAATACTAATGATGCACTAGTATAGTAGAAATTTAATTCAGAAAACCTTTCAGGAGATTCAGCTGGTACATTAGTCTTCCATTGCTATATAACAAATGGTCACAAACCTAGCAGCTTAAAACACCACCTACTTATAAGCTCACAGTTCTGTAGATCAGAAGTCCAGGAGACAAAGCTGTGCTCTCTGCCTAGAGTATCATAAGGATGAAATCACGGAGTCAGCTGGGCTGAGTTCTTGTCTGGAGGCTCTGGGGTAATGTCCATTGTCAAGCTCACTATTGTTGGCAGATTTCAGTTCCTGTGCCTGTGCAACTGAAGTCTCCCTCCCATGCTGGCTAGGAGCTGGGGGCCACACTCGGCTCCTGGAGGCACCGCATTCCTTGCCACGTGGCCCTCTCCACCAACAGTCTACCAAAAGCACATTGAATCCTTCCTGAGCTTTGAATCTCTGACTTTCCCGTCTGTGACCGACCAGAGAAAATGACTTCTCAAGGGGTCATGTGATTAGATCAGACCCATCTATATAATCTCCCTATTTTAAAAGATAATAGGTTTGGGACCTTAGTTACATCTCCACAATCTCTTCAAAGTAGTAACCTAGATTAGTATTTATGGTCTAGAATCAGGTCTAGAAATGGCATATTTCTATGCCACTTTTCCCACATGCCATTGGCCCGAATTCATGCATATGATTCCATCTGGCTGCAAGGGGTCTGGCAAACATGGTCTGGCTGAAGAAAGGAAGATGGATCTCTTGAACAAGTAGCCAGTCTCTCTCATAGGTGTCCAATAAACCCATCTCTACCTGGCTGTTAAAATCCTTGCTTCGTGGGGCACCTGGGTGGCTTAGTCGGTTGAGCATCCGACTTTTTGCTTGGGTCATGGTCTCGCAGTTCGTGGGTTCGAGTCCCGCGTCGGACTCTGTGCTGACTGCCAGCTCGGAGCCTGGAGCCTGTTTCGGAGTCTGTGACTCCCTCTCTCTCTGGCCCTCTGCTGCTCATGCTGTCTCTCTCTCTCTCTCTCCTAGAAATAAATAAAAATATTAAAAAAAAAATCCTTGCTTCGCTTATAAATAACCAGTGCCCTTTGATTTCATCCTTCAGTGGCTCCAGCAGTGCCATCATGTAACGTGCCCAGCTCTGCTCTGAGTGGAACTGTGGTAGAGCTGCGATGTCAAGAAAAAGAAGGGAATCCAGCTGCTGAGTATACGTGGTTTAAAGATGGTGTCCCTTTGTTAGAGAATCCAAAACTTGGCTTCCAAAGCACCAACAGCTCATATACGGTGGATTCAAAATCTGGGACTCTGGTAAGGTCATGTCACGCATTGGCCTAGTAGCTGTCTTGTATTTAGAGAAGAAAAATGATTAGAACTGAAATGATGGAAGATAGAAGGCTGATAACCATTGCTTAAGGGGGGGGGGGGGCAGCAGAAAGGATGGCCCATGCCCAGGGAAGTGATGGAAAAGGACATGGGAAGTCAATACAGAGAACTAAAAACAATACTTTTAGCAAATGTCAAAAGATTCGTTCCTTCAATCTGCAAGCACACCGTAACATTTAAATACTCGATCCTCTGGTAAATAATAAAGCATATTGTTGGATGTGGCTCCTTGACTCCAGCCCTTGCAGCGTCAGCGGGCCCAGTCAGCAGGTCCGATGAATTTTACACTGAGAACTTGGGCAGAAAACCTGCCGTCACACTTTGCTATATTTACTTTTCAAATTTATTTTTTCTCAGAGCAGGTGATAAAAGCCCCAAGGTGAGTTTGAAATGATATAGACTCACCTCCCCCACTTAGCCTCAACCCTTGAAATATCTTGTGATGTCAAAGGGATGCACCAGGGCAGGACAGGGACGGGTTATTTCGTGAGAAATAAGCAGCAGAGACTCCATTGGATGGATGATTATGACTTCCTTTCAATTATTAGTCATGCGCTAGTAAATCATTTATGGTTTTATTCTGACTTACTGTTAATACTTACCCTTGGCCTTGTATTCCTGGTGAATATTTTTACAGTCTGGCTTAGGGGACAGCGAGAAATGATTTCATAAAGTGAAGTACACGAGGAGAAGCTTTCTGTCCCATCATGTTGAGGGATACATAAAAAAGGGCGATGCAGGTAGCGGGTGAAGAAAAGTGAGAGAGAAAAGGGAGTTCATGGATCAAAAGCCTGGCTGCTGTTAGGAGCATGGATTGCATGAGGATCTAAGACAACGAGGACGTGTTCCTTAGAGACTCGTGCCTGTCACAGATGCAGCAACAGTGACCACAGCAGTACTGAGCTTGTGACAGGAGGGCAGTGAAAGAATGATTCTGAGTACCCCTCCCCCTCTGCGCTGGCAGGGTCCTTTCAGGTGTCTAGGACCCACCGCGTTCCCTCCCTCCCCCCTCCTCTCCCTCCCTCCCCCCTCCTCTCCCTCCCTCCCCCCTCCTCTCCCTCCCTCCCTCCCTCCCTCCTTCCTTCCTTCCTCCCTCCCCCCCCTCCCTCTCTCCCTTCCTTCCTTCCTTTCAGAAATTCACTAAGGAAATAAATCTACTAATAACAGTTATGAAGCCTATAACACCAAAGTCTCACCTTTCAATTATTTTGGCAGAGAGTAGAAGGAGCAAAGGTTAGACCTTTATCTTTTCAGAATTTTCAAGAATCCCACAACTGAGAGAATTTGTAACCCTCTGAACTACACTGATTACAGTCTTCCTAGGCCCTAAGCTACTTCCTGGTAGTAGTTCTGGCCCTTTAGCAGAAGTGTTGATTGTTTGCTGCTGCTGTGAACTCACTTGTGGCTGAGAAAACTGCATGAGTCCTTTCAGACCAAGGAGGCCTTCCTTTCCAAGTGATGTGTCCTAGGAATTAGAAATACCGACAAAACGTTGTATGACCATGTGCTATAAACTTCAAAAAATGCCCACTGCCTTCTTACCACACCACTTCCAAATTATCACAAAACAAAGACACTTCCCCATATATATTTACGTCCTTCTCTGTCAAAATAAACAGGAAGCCTAGCTACTTGCCCCTTGAAGTCATGGCAGATTTTTGAATTCATGGTAAAGGTATAAAGTCCTAGGTCACAAAAAAGGAAAGACCAACTTAGTGCGAAAATTCAATTCAAGGGACGTGGTTACTTTAGGAGTCTACTTAGAGATTTATTGCTTAAAATATATGTTTATTTTCCTTCCACAAATAGCAATTTAACACTGTTTCAAAACTAGACAGTGGGGAATATTCCTGTGAAGCCTATAATTCTGTCGGACGTCGCAGGTGTAGCGGGAAGCGAATGCAAGTAGGTAAGCATGAGATATTGGGAAGAACAGTGGTTCGCAGTCAGTGCACACAAGTGCTGAGGGAGAGGAAGCAGCAAGGGGTAGATGAGGCTGAGCGACTGGAAAGATAAACCAGAGGGAGTGTTTAAAATTCACTTGGATGTAATGTGTTGCCAAAAGCAAACATTCTGTTCTTAGTTCATCTCTCAAACAAGCCAAGAATCTTTTGCATTATACTTTTCAAGTTCTTTAATTGTTCAGCTAATTTCTTTAAAAATATGCTTGTCTAGGTAGTCTTCTTTCAAACGAACGCTGTGAGTGTTAAAAATTGCTCAGGGTCAAAGATTCGGTATGGGGTTGGATTTCCAGCTCTGTTGCTTCCTAGCTCCATATTCTTGCGCAAATTATTTAGCCTCAGCCTCCCCCGAATGGACGTAGGAAAACGCTGTCTTCATAGGGTTATTATGAAGGGTCAACTAATCAGTATTTGAGGGGGTGCCTGGCTGGCTCAGTCGGTAGAGCGAGTGACTCTTGATCTCGGGTTCATGAGTTCAAGTCCCGTGCTGGGAACAGAGCTTACTTAAAAAAGAAACAAAAAACAAAACTCAGTGTTTGAAAGGGTTAGAATAGCACTGGCATATTGTTGGCTATTTTGGTTGTTATTATCAGGTTATTATTGGTAATTTTTTTCAATCCCCTAAAATAAAGTGCTTTACTGATCACAGAGTAGGATCTCAAGGCAAACCATAAGAGACTCTTACAGAGAACAAACTGAGAGTTCCTGGAGTGGAAGGAGGGGGGATGGGCTACATGGGTGATGGGCATTAAGGAGGGCACTTGGGATGTACACGGGGTGTTATATGTAAGTGATGAATCACTACATTCTACTCCTGAAACCATTATTACACTGTACGTTAACTAATTTGGATTTAAATTTTAAAAAAAGAAAAGAAAAAAAGACATTTGAATGTAGTTATGAATCCCTATTTGATATAAAACATACCTGCCATATATTTCACAACATGAGCTTCTTAGAATCAATAAAATTAGTTCTCAGGAATCTTTTCAGATTATATGAGTTCCAGAGGAGATATTTATTTTCATTTTGTTTTGAATAATTTGGTTCAGTTCTACCTTTGTGAAGGTCCTGTGTTTTGCAAATGGGTGTGTAATGGAGAGGGGTAGCTAGAGATGGCTCCTGCAGGGTGAAGGTCACTCACCTGTGGGGTGAAAGGTCACTCAGGAGGGCTGCACCCTGAAGCTGAGTACCCACAGCTCCCTTGGCTCAGGAATTTGTCTTCACCTTTGTGAGGTCGCTTTTGCAGTGTGCTCAGAGATATGCAGATACATGCACACGAATTTGTGTTGTTTATGTAAAGTTAACCTCTTGGTGTTATCTTTTAAAGAAAATACAATCTTGTTAGACTTCAGGATCCCCTGAAGTATAAGATACTCAATAGTGTATTCTAATTTCCACAAGTGTCTTTTTGAAATTCAGAGATACATATTATCCACCAAATTCAAAACATAAGTGTTTGCCTAAAATATCGGAAAGCATCCATCTTGGGGTGGCTGGGTGGCCCAGTCCGTTAAGCGTCCCACTTCAGCCCAGGTCATGATCTGGTGGTTTGTGAGTTCAAGCCTTGCGTAGGGCTCTGTGCTGACAGCTCGGAGCCTGAAGCCTGCTTCAGATTCTGTGTCTCCCTCTCTCTCTCTGCCCCTGCCCCACTCATGCTCTCTGTCTCTCTCTCAAAAATAAAAATAAACATTAAAAAATTTTTTAAAAAAAGATGAAAGTCTCCCTCTTAGTCCCGCTTTGGAGTTATCATTAGAAAAATTTATCAGAACATGTTTAAAATTAGTGCATTAGTACAGCGTTTCCCTAACTTCATTCATTCACATACTATCCTCATGGTTTGTTTTTTTTTTTTTTTTACCATAACCTTATACCCCCTGCACTATTACTATTTTAGTGTTTTTCTTTACATGGTCCTGTTTAATTTCACTGCCTAATATAGTCTCACCTTAAATAATATCTGTGAAGTCATGGTTTTAACATACTAGTTAATGTTTTTTCTTGGCCTGGAGTAAATAAATACATAATAGATGAGATTTAGTAGTTTGTGTTTGGCTAGTATCACCACTTTAATTTGACTAGGATTTTCACACTATCTCCTCTTTCTGGTATAACTTAGCTTATAAGTTAAAATTAGTTTGTTTAATGCTCATTGATCCTAGGTGTTACATGCCTTTGGTTTGGAATTAACATCTTTTTTTTTTAATGTTTTTATTTATTTCTGAGGGAGAGAGAGAGACAGCGTGAGCAGAGGAGGGTCAGAGAGAGGAGACACAGAGTCTGAAGACAGGCTCCAGGCTCTGAGCTAGCTCTCAGCACAGAGCCTGATGCGGGGCTTGAACCCACGAACCGTGAGATCATGACCTGAGCCGAAGTCGGACGCTCAACCGACTGAGCCACCCAGGAGCCCCTGGAATTTATATCTTTTGAAATACATGAGAATTCATGAAATCACACGTCAAGGGTTTTTTTGTAAGCCATCACTAATAACTTGTAACCCCAAACAGAAGCTCTTCTAAACTGTTAACTGTTCTAAAGAAGCTCTTTTTGAAGTTCAGAAAGAAGGTAAATCATGGATCTGGTGACTGTTCCCAGGCTGTAAAACTCAAGACCTCCACTCACACGTAGGATTTTAACAGCTTGACTCCTTTCCTTTCAGTTAGAATAACGATACCTTCCTTTCATAGTGGACTTTTTTTTTTTTCCCCAAAGAAAGAACACCATAGGTTTGTGTGTGTGACATTTTCTCGTTAGTGAGGGATAAGGCGCCTTTAGAACTTGCTCACTGTCTCCTGGGAGGTGGCAAATGGCATGAGACCAACGTACCTCTAACTTACAAGAGTCCATCCATTTCACTAAAAAAGGTAAAATAAAATTTATACCGTGTCTTACAAGATAAGACATTAGTTGTTGTTAGATGTCAAGTTCACTGTCAAACCGCAAGACAGATTTTTGTCAGATAATAACCTTGAGGTTGAAACCTTCAGAGATACCACCTTCTTTGACTACTACAAAGAAAATAGTAGGTATAGTTTGGTTCTAAGGAGTTTCATTTAGTTATCAATTTGCCTTAAATTATGACTATTGTGGATTTTTTCCCCTATTAATTTCATTTTGTCTTAGGTTATCAATATTGTAGGGCACCTGGGTGGCTCAATCAGTTAAGTGTCCAACTTCAGCTCGGGTCATGATCTCACAGTTTGTGAGTCTGAGCACCGTGTCAGGTTCTGTGCTGAAAGTGTAGAGCCTGCTTAGGATACTCTCTCTCCCTCTCTTTCTGCCCCTCCCCCACTTGCACTTTCTCTAAATAAACTTAAAAAAAAAGATTATGAATATTTTGGATATTCCCTCTCTGCTAATTTTATAAAGACTATTTTGCTTTCAAAGAGTTTTAATTTTTTTTTTTTTAAAGGGATGGGGAGAGAGACAGGAGAGAAAAAATTCCAACCAGGCTCTGCACTGTTAACACAGAGCCTGACCCTGGGCTCGAACCCATGAACCATGAGATCATGACCTCAGCCAATATCAAGAGTCAGATGCTTAACTGACTGAGCCACCCAGGCACCCCTCGACTATTTTTTTAAGTAAATAAATAATTGGATCTTATTGACCTTTGAATACTCCAGCAAAAATGAACTGAGTTTATTATTTTTTAAAATCTTTTTAGTGGGGGAGGGCAGAGAAAGAGAGGGAGACACAAAATTTGAAGCAGGCTCCAGGTTCTGAGCTGTCAGCACAAAGCCCAACGTGGAGCTCGAACTCATGAACCGTGAGATCACGACCTGAGTTGAAGTCAGATGCTTAACCAGCTGAGCCACCCAAGTGCTCCTGAGTTGTTGTTGTTGTTGTTGTTAAGATTTTACTTTTAAGTAATCTCTACACCCAACATGGTGCTTGAACTTACAACCCTGAGATCGAGTCACATGCTTTACCAGTTGTGCCAGCTAGGTGACCCTAAAAATGAATGGAGTTTTATACCAAACAATAATTAATGTTTTCTACTCTGGTCAAATTACTCAGCCTTTCAAAAGAAAGACATATCCAGTTTTCTTTCTCAAAAAAAAAAAAAATCAGTTAACAGGGGCACCTGGGTGGCTTAGTCAGTTAAGTGCCTGGCTTTGGCTCAGGTCATGATCTCATGGTCCGTGGATTTGAGCCCCACATCAGGCTTTGTGCTGACAGCTCAGAGCCTGGAGCCTACTTTGGATTTTGTCTCCTGCTCTCTCTGCCCCTCCCTCGCTCATGGGCTGTCTGTCTGTCTCTCTCTCAAAAATAAATAAACATTAAAAAAAATCAGTTAACATTTAAGGTATATGAGAAAATTAATAACACTTGGCATTAGAAAAAAAAATTTGTAGGGTGCTTGAGTGGCTCAATTGGTTAAGCGTCTGACTTTGGCTCAGTTGATCTCATGGTTAGTGAGTTCAAGCCCCACATTGGGCTCTGTGCCGACAGCTCAGAGCCTGGAGCCTGCTTCGGATTCTGTGCCTCCCTCTCTCTCTGCCCCTCCACTGCTTACCCTCTGTCTCTCTCCCTCTCTCCCTCTCTCTCTCTCTCTCTCTCTCCAAAATAAAGAAAAATTAAAAAAATTTTTGAGACCAGAAAGTTTTATGATAAGCATATTCACTTAAATAATATTTCTTTTAAACAATCTTTCCCAAAAGTTGTGATGCTTTTAAATATCTAAAATTACTGTTGAGGAAATGCTACCTAAAATTTTCTCCAAGTTATTGAATCATATGCTAATTAATACTTGCTTTTAAATTTTTTTAATGTTTTTTTTTTTATTTCTGAGAGAGAGACAGCGTGAGCAGGGGAGGGTCAGAGAGAGAGGGAGACACAGAATCCGAAGTAGCCTCCAGGCTCTGAGCTAGCTGTCAGCACAGAGCCTGACGCAGGGCTTGAACCCAAGAACTGTGAGATCATGACCTGAGCCGAAGTCGGACGCTTAACTGACTGAGCCACCCAGGCGCCCCAATACTTGCTTTTAAAAACAAGAACTCTTTGAGAAATTGTTCCTTTAAAAAGTATAGGTAATTTACAATGTGTTTTCACTTATAAGTGGAACAAGAGAAACAGACAACAAACTGGGACAGGAGAAGGGGAAAAAATAGTGGGAGAGAGGGAGGGAGGCAAACTATGAGAGACTCTTGAATGCTGAGAACAAGGAGGGCACTTGTTGCGATGAGAACTGGGTGTTATATGGAAACCAACTTGATAATAAACTATAAAAGAAAAAAAAAGTATAGGGAATTTACATATTAATCAATACACAGGTAGTATCCAAATGACAGAAGAGTGTGGCTTATGAAATCCTTGTGGACAAGCTGGAGGAATATGATCCAAATTAAATATTTTGATGGATTCACACATAGTTGGATCCCATACCCAGAGGGTGTAATAGATCCCTTTACATGAAGGGGTGTGTGTAATAGCCTCTTCCATAGTTCTTTCCCTAAAAAAATCATAATCATCATTTTATTAATTGCTTGAATGAGGATATTTTTGAGGTAGCCCCCAATTACATAAATATGAATCTTGAAAGGTTAATAATCTAATTCTTGGACAACAGAATCAGTATCTGAAAAAAACCTCGCGTTGGTAACATGGTAGTAATTTCAAAGTGAGGTCCAAACAATCCAGTTGTATTAGGTTAGAGGGAAGATGACTTAATAACAACAGAAAAAGTCTTGGGGAGTTTAGTTCATTTTAAACCTAATGGGATGACAGCTTAATGGCATATATGTATGTGGGTGTGTATGTGTGTATATGGACACACACACAAGCCTGATTAGATTCAAGAAAGGTGCTACTGACTTTTCGTTTCATAGAGTCACACAGTTTTCTTTGGAGCTGAATGAGTTTTCCATGATTGGTGAAATTGGCACAGATGATGATGTAGAATTTTAAGTAGAATTTGGGGGTATATGGTGGTAGAATACTTGAACTCGCTGAACTTTGAAGGTCATTTCCAATGTGATATTTCATCTTTTGAAGTATTACCTCTCCAAATGAATGCAAGATAATATACCATACATGTTATTTCTGAATCACTGAATTTCTTTAAATTTAAGATTTTTGCAAAACTTAATTCTTTTTTTTTAAAGTTTATTTAAAAAAAGTTTATCTTGAGAGAGGGAGTGTGTGCGCAAGAGGGGCAGAGAGAGAGGAAGAGAGAGAATCCCAAGCAGGCCTTTCACAGAGCCTGACATGGGGCTCAATCCCACAAACAGTGAAATCATGATCTGAGCTGAAATGAAGAATCAGCTGCTTAACCGACTGACTCACCCAGGTGCCCCTCAAAAATTAATTCTGTTAATATTTTCAAGCAACTTTGAACCTTGTCCTGGAAGTGAATCAATTGAACAGGCTTCAACAGCATGAAACTATCTATGGTTTCATAGATATCAAGGGGAGCTTTTTTGAATGTTTTTCAATTTAATAGCTGCATCTGTCTTGTCTGTTTGACCCAAATTCATGCATGGTTTGTTTTGCTTTCCAGATAACCTCAACATAAGTGGCATCATAGCAGCTGTAGTAGGTGTGGTCTTAGTGATTTCTGTGTGTGGCCTTGGTGTGTGCTATGCTCAGAGGAATGGCTACTTTTCAAGTAAGTGGATTTCACCCTTCTTTGCTAGACAACTTCCGGTGATGTAGTTTTTTTATGAGACACTGTTTCTCCCGATTAGTTCTAACGAACTCTAGAGACTAGTTTTCATTGGTTTTTCTGCAGAAGGAACTATCCAAGAGGACATGTAGGTGAGTTATGAAGCACTTTGGCAAACAGAGACAAAACGCAGGGCTGCCTCACTGAAACATCCAGGACATACCACAGAATATGTGAGAGGCGCCCTGGAGGGGCATAATGCCGCAGTACTTACTAGGAAATAGTCAATGTCCGTGGATATTTCTAGTATGTTTATATGTATTTAAGATCCCTTTGAGTTAGGAATTACATAGCTCAAGATGTAAGCCGATTTCCAGTTTTATCATAAGAAGTTTCAGTGAAATATTTTATCAGTGTAGAACAGTGGAATGTTGAATGTCAAGTTTAGCACCCCTGTATATACGAGAGAACTGTTCAATAAAAACAAGAAACCTATAGTATTTACAGTTGCTTCTGATCAAAGTTTTAATTTATTTTTAAATGTTCATTAATTTTGAGAGGGAGAATGTATGCCAGAGTGGGGGAGGGGCACGGAGAGAGACAGTCTGGTAGGCTCCCCACTGTCAGCGCAGAGCCCGGTATAGGGCTTGATCTCAGGAACCGTGAGGTCATGACCTGGGCCAAAATCAAGAGTTGGATATTTAACCATTTATTGAGCCTCCCAGGCGCCCCACATAGTTTTTAATTCTTCAAGTTTAGACTTTTTATAACCCCAGCTTCCCATTTGATGATAAAATAGGTTTGAGATAAATGATTATGATATAAGTTATTAGAAAATAATGTTTTACTCTCTTAATATATTTCTCTACTCCCAGTCTTTAAAATTATCTGAGGAGTGCCTGGGTGGCTCAGTTAAGCGTCCAACTTCGGCTCAGGTCACGATCTCACGGTTCGTGGGTTCGAGCCCCGTGTCAGGCTCTGTGCTGACAGCTCAGAGCCTGAAGCCTGCTTCAGATTCTGTGTCTCCCTCTCTCTCTGACCCTCCCCTGCTCACACTGTCTCTCTCTCTCTGTCATAAATAAATAAAAACATTTTAAAAATTAAAAAATAAAATAAATTATCTGAGAGCTCAAAAGCTGCAGAAGTCCATCATGTACGTTGGGAATAGTGTACGAAGCAGTTTTTTAACAGAATAATAAATTTATAGCATAAGCAAGTTTTAGAGCCACTGTTTTACAGTGAACATTAATTTTAGAATTGAGGTTTAAAAAACATTTTACAGTAACATAAAACTTAACCTATAAATAGATACTAAGTGTCATAAGATGTTTCCATGAGCATTGTTTCAAGAATGCTCCCTATAATTAAGAATAGCTGCTCTGTGAATTAATAGCTCTTTTCCTTAGCACTTCTAATCTTAGTCTAGTGTAAATTAACTTCCTGAATGGGATCCAGCTGAGTCCCCCTGCTGGTCACCAGTAAAAGTACAGACAGATACGGTTGCTCCAGAATTCTGGTCATCTTGATCTCTGCTTGTAATGAGTATCTGTCTGAGTATTTTTATTGAAGACTTGGTAAATACATTTTTCTTAAAACAATTAATTAAAGATTCGACTTGGGTATTAGGAATTCATTAGTGAAGAATATTACTCCAACCTATCCAAGAGGGTCAATTTCTTAAACTTGCTTGCATTTCAGTTAAGAGTTGGCAAACTATGACCTGTGAACCATACCTGGCCTGCCACCTGGTTTTCTGTGGCCCACAAGCTAAAAATGGTTTTTACAAATGAATATTTGCAATCTGTTTGATAGTAAGGAACACTAGCTTTGAATCCCAATTAAGAGAAATGTTATTCCCCCCAAAGAAGAATTCTAGTCTTCCAATAAATAGACCTATACTTAAGACTGATTATTATATGTTGAATCTTATGAATAAAAATTTTTGGAAACTTGTTCTCTCTGATTATATAAGTACCTACCTAATATCCTCAATTTTACCTATTGGCCCACAAAGCTTGAATATTTGCCTCGTGACCTTTTACAAAAAATGTTTGCCAACCTGGATTTAGAAAATATAGATATAACAAGAGAGGATCACGATAAGAAAAAGAAATTAAGACTAAAATTTATATTAATATATTAATGTATATTATGTTAATATATTAATATGTTAGTCTGCATCATATCATATTAACTCTTGCATTAATGATATACACTTATTCTTTTGTAGAAGAGACCTCGTTCCAGTAAGTATACTTTCTTTAATGCATGTCTTTCCCCCATCTTAACTAATTTTCTGTTAACCATCTGTTTAAAGTCAAACACGAAAAGCTGGGCTATCTGTGTAGGTTTTATCCTCTGGGAAGTGACTCGTTTATCAGAAAATACATCCCACCTCATGCCTCATGCCTATCTGTCAATGTTGTTCAATTACCTAGAGAAGAAATGTAGTCAGTAATTCAACCCTGTAGTTTCCCATAGTACTGCTTTGGAAAATATATTTGCTGTGTTTTGCTAAATTAAAAATTTTCAAATAAATTTTTATTTAACACAATTTTCACATTTAATTGAATACTTACATTGTGCCCAACACTGTCCTAGGGAATGGCAATATGGCAGTGAACAAAACAGACCAAATAACTCTCTGCCTCATGGAGCTTACATTGAAACAGATGGAAAATAATCACAAATGTAAACTTTGCAGTATGTCAGATTGTCACAGTATTGTGGTGAAAACTAAAGTAAGTAAGAGAATGCACAGGGTGGGAGTGGAGATTGTCCCTTAGGGTGGTTAGGGAAGGGCCTCATGGATAAAGTGATGTTTGAGTAAAAGAGCAGAAAGAGTAAATCATGCAGATACCCATGAGAAGAACATTCAAGCAGAGGCAAAAGAACAAATGGAAAGGTCTGGAGGCCAGGTTTGTCTGGAGTATCTGAGGCATATCGAAGGGACTGGTGTGGCTGAAACAGAGTGAGGACAATGGAGAGAGGGGATGCACCAAAGTAATGGAGCCCAGATCACATGGAGCCCCTCTAGGCAGTTGTGAGGAGTTTGACTTTGATTCTGAGTAAGATGGGAAGTCATTGGAAGGTTTTGAATGGGGGAGCAGTATCCCGTTACTTAATTCTTAGAGGCTCACATTAGTTGCTCTGTTAGGAAGAAACTGTAAGGTGACAAAGAGCAGAGGAAGCAGGGAGAGAGGTTAGGAAAACTACTCAGTAATCTAGCCAAGAGAAAATGATGGCTGGTTCCAAACCGATGCTGTTGGAGATGTTGAGAAATGATAGGATTCTGCATATATTTTAAACGCTTTACTGATTGGTTAGAAGAGATCCCCAAGTTTATGTGCACTTGATTTGTGACTGTCCTTTCTGTGTACATGGAAATGGCAGACCCAACCCAGATCTATGGGCATTCCCCTCTACTCTCAGCTGCGTGGCTTCAGATTCTTGATCATCTTTTAAGTCGTTTTGAAGACTTAGCTGCCTTTGATTTCCTGTTCCCAGACTTCCTACTGAACCCTGGTCTCTCTCTCTAGTAATATCCTAGTACAAGTCCGAAATGACCTCCAAGTTATCAGGGATAGCAGTAGCAAAGGAGGAGTGTTCAGAAAACAGGGTTGCCAGATGATATAGCCACCCCACATCCCACCCTAGGCAATTGTAAGGACTTCTACTTTTATTGAAGAAGGTAGAAAGTAATTGGAGATATTTGAGCAAAGGAAAGCATCATCTTCTACAAGGGGAAAGGTTGGGATTGCAATGGCGAGAAGGTAATTCTTTTCTTCAGTCGCAATGCCTTTGTTAACGCATGTAGGAATCCGGGAGGCAATATCTTTACTCCTAGATACATCTTTGCAATTTGTCAAATCCATCGCCCTCAAAATTTTGTGATGATGAATTGGATGTTATATTAATTTGCTAGGGCTGACGTAATGAAGTGCCACAGACTGAGTGGCTTAAGCAGAAATTTATTTTCTAACACTTCTAGAGGCTAGAGATCCAGATCAAGGTGACAGCAAGGTTGGCTCCTCCTGGGGACGAGGAGGAAAGGATCTGTTTTAGACCTCTCTCTCCTTGGCTTATAGCTAGTCCTCTCTCTGTCTTCACATTGTCTTCCTTCTGCTTGTGTTTGTATCCAAGCTAACTGTTCCTATAAGGCCAGCAGCTATACTGGGTTAGGGCCCACCCTAATGACCTCATTTGAATTTGTCATTTTAAAGAGACTGTCTCTAAATACAGTCACATTTTGAGGTACTGGTAGTTGAGACTTTAGCATGAATTTTTTAGGGATACAGTTCAGCCTATTACAGATGACTGGAGCCCTAGTTACTGTGTAAAGCTTTCTTTCCATAAGAGAAAGTCAATTTTGATGATAATGATCAAGCTTTCAAAATGCTAAAATGTTAAAAAAAAAATGGTAAGTTAAAAGGGAGTACGTTTCTGTTTGCATATTCTACAGAAATCTTTAGTCCTAGGGCTACAATGATACCTAGGGTTTCACGGGCCGACACCTTGCTGCATGGCTTTCTCTGTGAAGTTTGTCTATAAATAGAAGAAATTCGGTTAGGGTTCCTGGCATTTTTTTTTAACATTGTCTTTTGTATTCTACAAACAGGAGATGCAGTTCTACATCTAAAGCCACCACAATGAGTGAAAATGTGAGTATTTTTAAAGCATATTTATAGATCAGATGTGTTTGGGAAATAGGGGTGGGAAATGAAGTCATTGTACAGGAGTGACGGATTCTGACTTTCTATATACTTTGTGCTCGTGTCTACTACTGGTCTTTAGAGGGACCTGAGTACGTGTTAGCTTCCATCCTCCATCTAGGATGGTCTGGTAAAGTTGCCCGGCATTTGGAGACTAATGGGGCTTTGCTGTATCATTATTTTCTTCCATGATGTTTGCTATTATTAGTCAACCTCCTGAGCATCATTAAGTCTGGCATTATCAGCTCCATTTCCTAGATGAGAAAATCTAGACACAAGTTCTCACAGGATTACAGTGGTAGAGCTGGGTTCAGGTACCCTGATTCTTGTCAGCCTGAGCAGATGGCTTCCAGATCTGTGATTCCAGGACTCTCTTTGGTTTTTCAGAGAACTTGGAACTTAGGGATGTGGAATGTCCTCTGCTAATGCTGAAAGGAACATTTTAGAAACCCTGAGGACATGCAATAATTATCTAACTCAGGTGGTGTAGGCAACAGAATTTGGACACTTTCGCATCTGCGAGTACTACAGCGAAGCAGTAAATACCGTCATTACTCAGATTTTGTAGCTCTTTGGATAGATATTCGACCTTCTGGATTATTTTTCAGGCATGTGGGAAGGAAGGGCGGTTTCCAATGTTTTTAGTGGTCTAAGCACTTTCTTGAGAAACGGAGCACGGGTTTTCTGAACTCCGTGGCACTCTGTGGCAGGGATCCTCTTAGATACCCTGTTTGTAGAGCTTGGGGTAGGCAGTGGACACCGGTCTTTTAAACTATAAGTGATTCTCATGGGTATGAACTTTATGACCCACTTACGGCTCCATGGATTTTTTTTTCCTGTCAAAATCTGATTCTCTAAAATTGTCTACTCCAAACTCTATCACAGAAGTCACTTTACTTTGTAGTTTACTACACCAAAATCATATTATTCTTTCATTAGTAGATAAGCAACATGTAACTCCATATTTATAGAAAGCAATATGTAACTCCTACAGTGTAAAGAAAATACTCCTTAAATGTGGAGTAAAATAATCTCATCCTACCAAACAGTAAGAGATACCTTGTGGGGCACCTGGGTGCCTCACTTGGTTAAGCGTCCGACTTCAGATCTCATGGTTCATGGGTTAGAGCCCCGCTGACAGCTCGGATCCTGGAGCCTGCTTGGGATTCTAGGTCTCCCTCTTTTTCTGCCCCTGCCCTGCTCATGCTCTGTCTCTCTCAAAAATAAAATAAACATTAAAAAAAATTTTTTTTTAAAAAGATACTTTATGGCAGAGTCAGAAGAGCAAAAACCTTTAAATTTTCATTACCCTCCTCTCAGTTGCCCTCCTGCACGGAGGAGTCGAGCCTCCAGTTGGAGCTTTGCCCTAGAGCAGAATTTCTCAGTGTTGGCATTACTGACAATTTCTTATAATTCTTATATTGTAATTTCTTCTTTTTTTAAAGTTTTATTTATTTTGTGACAGATAAGAGAGAGAATGCGAGCAGGGGAGGGGCAAAGAGAGGGAGAAAGAGAATCCCAAGCAGGTTCTGCTCTGTCAGCACAGAGCCCAACGTGAGTTCAAGCCCGGCTTGAACTCATGACTGTGAGATCATGACCTGAGCCAAAATCAAGAGTTGGAAGCCTAGCTGACTGAGCCACCCAGGTGTCCCATTATATTAGTAATTTCTTATGTAAATTCTTATATAACGAAGTCTTACAATTTTGCACAATTCTTTGTTGGGAGGGGGCGTACTGTGCATTGTAGAATGGTTAGTAGCACCCCAGCCTCCATCCTGTAGACGCCAGGGGTACACCCCTAAGCAAATAGGACTTTTCTTGCTCTAACTCCCACTTTTACTTCCTTACTCTTGAGGCAAAGTTTGAAAGACCTGGTCTCCTAGTATTTACTTAATTCCCCGTAAAACAGAGTTGCTGGTTTGTACCTATAAGATTCTCACAGTGCATGTAGCTTTATACTCATAAAAAGTATTTATTTCTTTAAATGAGTGAATACATTAAACTTGTTTCTTTCTTTTCCTAGGATTTCAAGCATACAAAATCTTTTATAATTTAAATGAATTCCACCTTTGAGATACATCAAAACCACAGTTGTTGTTACATATGCTATTCAGATTTAAAACTCAGCTTTGTCTTACTTTTGCAAGGAGGTACATGAGGAGATTCAATTGGTATTTCATTCTAATTTTTATGATCGTTAAATTACTTGAAATTGTCATTTTAAACCAATAGTTCTGTCAGCACCTAAATAAAGTACAGTCTGGTTTCTTGTGTCTGGACAAAGTTAAAAGAATCACAATACTGTGTAGTATTCTGGGGTATATGAAATGTTAAATGCCCTAACTTCTAGAAAAAGTGACTAAGATACATGATACTGATTGTGAAATTAGTCCACAGAGCGTGAAAATATAAATGGCGTCCACCCTCTGTGCAAGAGTCTGATTTAGAAGGTTCAGGAAATCGCGACAGATGCAGAAGGAACCTCTGGTCTTATTTCTACCAGAATCCTCTTTTCTCCCCTAATACAATTTTTATTCCACTGCTCATTTATCACTAATCTATTCACAGAAGGGAGGTAGCAGGAGTGGGTCTTATTCCCAGGGATTTGCACTTGGTATTTAGTTTTATTTCTGAGAACCAAAAACAACGTGAAGAAAAATACCTAATGATCAGAGCTCACTCACCTGGTGTGTGTCATTGATTTCTTCATTAAATAGAACTGAGCGTCAAACACAAGCCGAAATGTCTTACTTTGCTTGAGTTGCTTGTTGCTATTTCCTTCTCCTAAGACCCCTTTGAAGAGGATCAGTGATCTTGACATCAGACCTCGCCACTGGACCCCACACACAACCTTGTGGGTACCTTTCTCTGCATGATGGGGACTTCAGACTTGTCTCTGATAATCATGCAGTGAAATTCTGGGCTGGACTAAGTCCCTTGCTGGCCAGTCCTGCTTACTGAAGAGCCAGGGATATAGAGAGGAGAAGGGGTTGTCTGGCAAATGGAGTGAAAAATCGGTCCAGTCATCTGGTTTCTCCACAGATTAATCATAAAGGTGTCCAAGCTCGTGTTACAAAGGGAAAATTCCAATGATCGATGTAATCATAAGAGTAATTAGGCTGTGTTAAAAGGAATAATCATCTGTAACTTATTGTGATTTTTCGGTTACTATTGAAAATAAAATATCTAGGCAAATCTGGATGAAAAGCTGATTCACAAACTTTGACAACTTTGAACATGGGTAAGCTGCTTTTAAAGGAATCCATTTTTCTTCCTCAATAGACAAAGCAAATCCCAGGGTTCATTGGGCAAACAAATGGCTTAAGCACTAGCGTGTACCTGGATACCACAGCAGGTCACTGTTCCGATGCCCGTTGTCAGACTGTGCCTTGCCCCCCACTTGTCTGTGGCATTGGATGCTTCTCACCAGACTCCTCCCAATATTTCCTATAAAGGGCCAGATAGTATTTTAAGCCACACTGGTTTTATGGTGCCTGTTACAACCACACCACACAACTCTGCCTTTGTAGCACAAAAGCAGCCGTAGACAATAAGAAATGGCATGTTTGTGTTCCAACAAAACTTTATTTACAAAAACAGCAGGCACAGATAGGATTTGGCCCACGTGCATAGTTTCCCAACTCCTGGTGGTGAATCAGAGAAAAACACCTATCTGTAAGCTTTTGCAAAAGAAAATTAAGCTAAATGTTACCCATGCTTTGATTTGCTTTGGTATGAGGAATGCTTTCGTGTTGCATTGCCACAGGCCCAAGAGTGTGTGTGAGTCTCAGAGACGGCTCCTCGGGCATAACTACCATCACCCAAGATCAAGTTCTTCAGTTTAAAGGACACGGATTCAGATTGTGAGGGAAAATATATAGTGCCTTAGCTTTACTAACAGATGAAAGTTGCTGAGCCGTTTGGCTAGAAGATTCATCTTATAAAGTGTTAACGTACAACACTCTCATTGAGTCAAATATGTATTATACATTATCTTAATATATTGTATGTAGCTAAGTAAAAGTCATTGTGTACAGAATGCTTGCTCCCACACAAAGGACATAATGTTGAGCACTCATTTTCCATTTATTAAAAGTATACCCACCTATATCTGGATGTGTGTTTCCATTTGCTTTTGAGGGACTTCGACATTAACATTCATAGAGCATTTTATGTTCCTGCAGTGAAATTGTGTTGTGTAGGGATGAGGGCTCTAAAATCTCTAATAGCAAGTTTTGCTTTGTTTTAATTGTTGTTGCTATTGTAACTAGATCTAATTTATTTTTAGTTAGGGGTTTAACCTAACTAAATCTGGAACAATTGATTGTTTTTTCGTATAACTTTGCAAAGAATTTCCTTCATCTCATGAGTGGTTTTGTTTGATTAAAGTCTATGTTAATAAAAATAGCTGAACTTGTTCAACTTTTTAGGCCCATTTAACCGGTGCAAGGGAAAAGCCATCCACCTATTGTTCAATAAAACCCGGGGAAACTACGCCCTATTACCATCTGTAGCTACAAGGTTAGCTCTTTAGCTGCTTAAGATTAGAATCTCATCTTTCATTTGGGTGCCTGCCAACCTCCCAAATACTGGGAAAAAAAATACCCTGCAAATAAAAAGTCAGAACTATTAAACATTTTACACATGTCGGGTGGGGTGGATGGACATGAGGGTATATGCAATCTCATTCATCTCAAGAGTATTATAAAGCGGGTCATGTGGTCCTTTGCAGACAAGGAAACAGACTCAGAGTCAGTCCACCAAGTTCACAAAGGGACGTGAGGGCTCAGGGTCTAACCGACCCAAGTCCATCTGGTCCAGGATGCTTCACACAAGATGTTTTTTTCTCTTGCCCCCAACATACTTTCTTTTAAATTCTTACTTCTCTCACGCCACACCTTCCCTTCACTCTTAGTAACCTGGGGCTAGTTCACCCCTCCCCAGTCTCACAGCTTCTAACATTTTTCTGTCTTGCCTATCCCCAAATTTTGCAAACCTCAAATTGTAAGTGCCTGACAAAAAGGAAACAGCTATTTGAGCAGGGTGAAAGAGGTGGCAAAAGATATCAAGGAAGACAGCAGGAGAAATGGTGAAGGACTTTCTCCATGTTCTTAGGGCAAGGATGTATAAATTTTCCAGTCAAGTAGGGTCATCAAAAGTATTGATTCAGCCTTCTTACCAGTGTCTGAGTGAGGTCAAACATCTGAAATAAGGCTGTCCCACTGGGGGGGTGGGGGTGGGGTGCCTGGGTGGCTCAGTCGGTTAAGCGTCCGACTTTGGCTCAGGTCATGATCACACGGTTTGTGGGTTCGAGCCCCGCATTGGGCTCTGTGCTGACAGCCAGCTCAGAGCCTGGAGCCTGCTTCCGATTCTGTATCTCCTTCTCTCCCTGACCCTCTCCTGCTTATGTTGTCTCTCTCTCTCTCTCTGAGATAAATAAAACATTAAAAAAAAAAAAAACTGTCCCACTGGGATGGGGAACAGAGGGGAGTTTGGAAGGGTGGAGTTGAAACAGACCTCCCACTTAGGTAATCTGTACAACAGGAAGACCTCCTAGCCAACAGAGGCCCCCAAGAATTTATACATGCAGCCCCTAACCAGAGAGAGCTAGATTTATAGGCTCTGCTACACCAAGGGCAGCAGCAGAGAACTAGTTAACAGTCAAAAACAAAAAAATCCTACATTAAATAGATTCAAGTAAGTAAAAATTGCCTGGAACAGAAGTCTTCTTTGGTTATTATTAAAGGTAACACTAAAGAGGCACCTGGGTGGCTCAGTTGTTTAAGTGTCTGACTCTTGGTTTCTGCTCAGGTCATGATCTCACAGTTCATGGGTTTGAGCCCTATGTCAGGCTCCATGCTGAAGAGCATGAGAACTACTTGGGATTCCCTCTCCCTCTCACTGCCCCTCCCCTGTTCACACTCACTCTCTCTCAAAATAAATAAACTTAAAAAAAAAAAAAAGGTAACACTAGATAAGAAGTACATCCCTTTCTTCAACTCAAATTCCCTCTTTTGATAAGGATACTAGTCAGAGTGGACTCAGGCCTACCCTAAGGGCCTAACTTTAACTTAATCTCCTCTAAAAGTCCTATCTCCAAATCCAATCACATCGTGAGGCTCTGGGGGTTAGGATTTCCACAAATGAATCTTGGGAGAACACAGTGCAACCTGTAGCACCAGGCATGGGAGAAAGCTATTTTCAACACTAAAACCTAGAAGGCTGAAGTCATGTGTAACAAACATCTAAGATGGTAAGTACGGGATAGGGAGTGCACTGGCAGACTGAAGTGACAGATAAAGGCTGGGGTTTGCAGGGTTGGGGCAGCCTCACCAGGAAGAGGAAGGGGCCCTGAGGAAGATGAGGCCTTTAACATCTATGACTCAAAGCACACTGTAGCACTCCGCTGGGAAAAAGCACTTCCCTGGTCAAAAGTTAGCAATAAATACCCTATGATGTTGGGCATGGGAGTTGGGTGCTTAATGCAGTGTCCTTTGCAGCCAGAATCCTTACGTTTACATAATGAATGAAGAGATCGGGATGTTCACGTGAACTTCAGATAGTTTGCATGACAGATTTTTAAAAATATGAGGGGCGTCTGGGTGGCTCAGTTGGTTGAGCATCTAACTCTTGATTTCGGCTCAGGTCATGACCATCCCACAGTTTATGAGATCGAGCCCCACGTCGGGCTCTGTGCTGACAGTGCAGAGCTTGCTTGGGATTCTCTCCCTTCTCTTTCTGCCCATTTCCTGCTCATGCTCTCCTCTCTCGAAACAAACATTTTTTTTAAAAAAGTGTATGAGAAAGTAGGTGTGAAATTCTAAAAGGTAAAATACAACTAAGCTGAGCCGCGGAGTGAGGAAAAAAGAAAGGGAGATGAAGCAGGTGCTAAAAAGGAGCAGGCAGCTCTCCAGCCTGGCCGTCGCCCCGCAGCGCCCAGGCAGCTCACCTGCCACAGGGGGGCGCAGCTGTTTCAGGGGAGGTTAGAGAAGGACCTGAGCAGTGCGGCTTCCTCAGTTGCCCTTAAATAATGCCATAATCAAACATCGAATTGCTTCCCCGGCTGCAGTTATTTACGTACAAGTAGGTCACTGCTTAGCAGTATTTGAAGAAACTGGGGCTTTTCTAATACTTTACCTTCCCGAGTGCCAATTCCACACACCTTCCTAGTTTACTCACACCTGTATCGCTCAGAAATGTCTGCATGTCTGTTGGAAAAGGTAGTCCTAAGCAGGTTTCACTCCGACTAGACTGGCACCCACAGTAAAAGTCTATTCCTCTTTTTGAGTGAGCTAACCTCATAAAGAAGGCTGTTTTATATCATATTTAAAAAACAAAAACAGGGGCGCCTGGGTGGCTCAGTCAGTTAAGCGTCCGACTTCAGCTCAGGTCATGATTTCACAGTCCGTGGCCCACCTTGTCTGGGCCTAGCCTTGTTCCACACACAACATCTGAGGGACCCAAATTTGCAGCAAATTCCACGGCTGTTTTAAAGTCAGGTTGCCATAGTAAAGAAACCGGTCATATGGACTATGTGCCCAAGGAAAGAAAAAAAAATTGCACTTTATAAGCACTGTGTTTTTAAGTGGAAAATACAATGTCTTAAGTAAAACTATTTAAAATTGGTACCAACCCCCCAAAAAAAAACCCCAAAAAACCTTTAAAGGTTTATTAAAATCCATTTTGATGCAAGTCTGATTGTCTGATATGAAAAGGCATAGCTGGTTTCCTTAAAAAAAAAAAAAAAAGTAATTTTCTAAAGAGCCAGCGACAGTAATGGAAATTTTGATGTCCCTGTTACGCCACCTATCTGGTGCTCATTTGCTGGGTCTTCCATCGCTTGGGCAAAACAACAACCACACAGCTTAATCTTTCAAAGGAGGCTCCTTTGTAGAACCTCCATCCCATTCCCAGCTTTCCTTCCTCAATCTGTGTAGCACAGTAATAGATCTAAGATCATAAACTGCAAGGAAAGAGGGACCTGGCTATTGGGATAAAAGCATTTAACATTTGAGAAGATTTTAACGTTTGAGGAGATGGAAGTTAAAACACAATGAATGTTCCTGTGTGTTTTCAAACTTCACTTAAATTTCCTGGAAAAACTATGATAAAAGGTTTACAAGCCATTTCTTCATACTCTGGGAATGGTAACATCTCTCTGCAGCAAACATTCCTTAGGTCAGGGCAGCTCCCCTCAGGGGGCAAGGCTCCACTAGTGAAAGGAGAGGCCTGCACCCCGAGAAGGACCTGGCAGGTCATGGGCAAATTGTAGCCAATTGATCCAAGATGTCCACTTGCTTCATTACAGCCACCTGGGCAGACTTAAAAACAATGCCGAAACACAGACTTCAACACTCAAGGAAGTGTACGCCCAACATCATCAAATAATTTATTTGGAATCAGAATTAAAAGAACATTTGACAGCTGAGAAATGTATGTTTATCCCAATACTTCCGACCAGCTGTACAACTAATCTAGGACAAATTACCAAATACATTTTACATGATTTCTTCAGGACTGGGGTTTTTCGATGACTTCAAATTTGGGATCTGAGAAAAGGAACAAAAAGGTCCAAGCTTAGCTATACTGCAATAAAATGCATTACCTAGAAGGCTTCCATCTTTAACCCGTCAATATTTTGATTTTTTTTTTTAAAGTGAGTATCTATGGTTTTTTAACACCTAGATGGTATCTAACATGTTTTTAAACACCTACATGGAAATATTACAATCGGTAATGATTTATTAATAAGCACTTAACTATAAGCCAGGCTCTCTATTAACTGGCTTCATGTCTCTGTCATTTAATTACAACGATCACAAGAAAGATATCAGATTGTCCCCAAATGTCAGGTGGGAAACAGTCACCAGGTAACTGTCCAGGACCACACAGCTCACAGGTGACATGGTCAGGATTTGAGATTAGGGAGTTTGATATCAAATCTCCACCATTTAACCTCTTCTGTAATTTCCTATACCAATGGCAAACGTTTATACCAGAGCTTCTGCAAATGTTGCTGTCCTAATAATATTCTCAACTTAAAACAGATCTCCCACAAGAATGAATCCATGGTTGAAGACACTTACCTTCAAATGTGAAGTTAGGGAAAGTATTCATGTCCGCTTTTCCATACATTTGCTTCAGCTTAAAGAGCTCCCTCTCCAGATCTTGCTGGTACTCGGGGCCAGTATCAACCGGTCCTCCAGATGCCCTGTGGGGTGTAAGTAAGTAAAAACTCATCTTATGCACTAGTTTACAAAAAAAAAAGTTACCTTTTACCATTAAGTTTCAATAGACCTTTTAAAAGTCTTCATATAGGGAAAATATAGTTGCTGAAAAAACGCATTTCCGCTTGAATTTCAATTCAAACTTTTATTATGATGAGGCTTCACATAAATGAAGCAATTTCAAACAAACTTCTAACACTAAGGTTTGTGTATCAGGAATGTTTATTAAGTCATAATCTCTTGAGGTCTAAGCTGCAGTAAGATATAATGGCTAAGTCTGTGGGTTCCTGGAGTCAATGACTACTTCCGTTTCAATGTCAGCTCTACAGTTTATTGAAACTACATAAACTGAAGCAAGGCACAAAGCACGCTAAACATTAGTTTCCACAAGGTCCTACATAATGGTGGTGTGACACGAATTACAGACATAATGTACACGTACCACTTAACATAGTGCCTGGCACACAGTGAGGTGACATAGTGGCCAGTAAGTGCTATTATTATGATCTGATTTAAATCAGCCACCACTAAATGGTTTTTAAAAGATCTTAGTAACTTTACGTCTCTATAATATGGGCCTAACAAGGAAATATTTCCTACCCTCAGAGATTTTGCCACTTAGGGGGGAAAATCCCATGTTTAGAAACATTTGTGCTATAAGAGAGTTATTGATAAGCTTCAAAGACATGGTTTATCAAACATCTATTCGAGTTGAGGAGACAGCATTTTTGCTGAGCTAATTGGATAAAATTTCATTTTACAAAAGTGGCACTTGTGACAAATGATGCATTTGGGTCAGATTTTAATTCAGACATTCTAAGACTAAAAAAGCAAAGATGTGGAGGTAATAAAAAACTGGCTGTGTGTGGAGAATAAGCCATCTAGATGGAAAAGCCAGCAGGACTCCATTCATGGGAGACCTGAATTGTTAAGGCTGGGGCTGTGTATTTTATGTGCTAATCAAAAAATGACAAAATTAGAGTTGTGCTTTGGGAAGATAAATATAGCATCACAAACCAGCAGTGGGGCCAATTAGATGTAACTAATTCCTTGCACAAATTCTGTGATTGTCATGTTACTGCCCGCCTAGCATGAATGATATAATAAACAAAACTTTGTGAGAACTCCATTAAGGGTAATAATTATTTTTACATATGCCTATGATAAAAGTATAGGGCCTTATGTTAGAGAATTTCCACAAAAAATACAGAGACAGCTCTAATTTTTTTTTTTTCTCGGACAGCTCTAATTTAAGAACTTGTTAATGATGTGTGCTGTCATGGACTCAATTATCTTCTACATCAGCACATGCAATAGAACCTTCTGTAATGATAGACATGCTCTCTATGTCTGTGCTAATAGCCATATGTGACTAGTGAGCACTGGAAATGTGACTAAGGAACTCAATTTTTATTTATACTTAATTGGAATTAGATTTCAATAGTCACGTGTGGATAATGGCTAATGAATAGACAGTGGAGCCTTCAACCAGATACTTTAGATCTTTAACCTGGATTCTTACGCTAATTTACTGCATCACTTCATTTTTATACCATCCTATGAAATAAGTGCTGTTATTATCATCCTCATTTTACATACAAATAAGGTACAGAAGTTAAATAACCTACCCACAGCCCAAGTGCTAGTAAGTGTCAGGGCTGCATTCCAGGCCAGAGTCTGTGTGCAGAACATTTTCCCACACAATTTGCACAAATGAATGAACTACAGACCCCTTACATTAAGCACACCCCAGGGGCACCTAGCTGGCTCAGACGGTATAGCATACAACTCTTGAGGGTCCTGAGTTCAAGCTCCATTTTGGGCGCAGTGCTTACTTGAAAAGAGTACGCCTCAGGATTGACTTCTTATTGGACAGCTTTTCAGGACAGTTGGAGTGGAAGCAGCATCAATACTAAGATGCCACAATACCTCTGGACAGGAGACACTCAAATCCCCCAACCGGTCCTGCACACCTGCTTACTGAAGAGTGTAATTTTAGACAAATTCTTCCTTTTTAGCCTTGCTTTTCTAGTATGTAACATGGGGATAAGATCTGTTAAGATTGCTGTGAGAATGTCCTAACAATGTCTTCATTTTAATCCCTTTGCTCTCTCCCTCCTTAGTTGTGGTAAAAACAAAACCTTTTTGTTAGTTGCCCAGTCTCAAAGTACCAGTGCTCTTTCACTGTCCCCTCTCCTCTGCCTCTCCACCAGATAGCCAAAACCAGTTCTCAGTCTCTCGATGTCACAACTGTCACTTGTTATCTGCCCACTATTATAAAGACAATGTTCTCGTCAAACAATGCTTGGATTATTAAATTTTCCTATCATGTCTGTCTGTCTTCTCCACTCATTCCAATTGTTCTAATACTCTGTGATTAAAATTATCTTCCTAATACAGAGCAATCTTGTTCCATCCTACCATCCTGCTCCAAAACCTTTAATTCCTCATGAATGCCTATCATATAATACTTTAATTGCCCACCTCTAGTCGAGGCCTCTCATAATCCACTCATTCTGACCCCATTCTTACCCTTACTGCTCCCACACTCCTCATATACTCTACAGTCCTGGGGAGCAGCATCACACAATTTCCCAAACAGACCCGGTCATTCCAGTTTTCAAGCTTTCGCTCACACCATTCTTTCCTCCTAACACGTATGCTTCTCCCGCTCCCACTTATCTGTTCAACCTTCACACCAGTTCATAACCACAGGTATAGATGTGTACTGATAGCCTTTCTCGGGTTTAAGAACTCTTGGAAGCAATAAAATCATGTGAGTAAATTCCTCACTTTTTTTTAAACTGAAGGAATGATCCATAGCTGTCCATATTCTCGAAAGGGATAAAAGATCTCGGGGGTGCCTGGGTGGCTCCGGTCTGTTGGGTGTCAGACTTCGGCTCCGATCATGATCTCACTATTCATGGGTTCAAGCCCTGTGTCAGGCTCTGTGCTGACAGCTCGGAGACTGGAGCCTGCTTTGGATTCTGTATCTCCCTCTCTCTCTCTCTCTCTCTCTGTCCTTCCCTCATTCATACTGTCTCTGTCTCTCAAAAAATGAGTAAGTGTTAAAAAAATTTTTTTAAAGATCTCAAATACTGCCTCCAGCAAGAAAAGAACATTCCTTCCTATGCAGTCCCCAAACACTGAACGTGTCACTATATTAGCACCTAACCAATTTTTCCTTACATATTACCTTATAGATGCCTATGAGCTTTCCACCCCTATCAGATTTCAAGAATATAATGGAAATGCAGAAAGAATGGCTTCTTTCTGTGGCCCACCACAGTTAACAACCCAGTACTTTGCACATGGTACAGAACTAAATAAAATGAACACCAAACTGATGTATATCACTTTTCATAGATTTGGTGGTTGAATCTGATGATGGCTAAGGTCATCATTCATCTCCAAAGCTGTGGGGTTCTGTAATTGTGTTTATCCCGACTTGCTTTATGCAATTTCCGTCTTTTGTCCTTTGACATTCCCAGAAATACAGAACGATGGAAATAGCATTAAAGAAAAAATGCTGTGTTCATATATCCCGCCCCCCCCAATCATTATGTCAAAGGGCGGGCACTATATTAATAATTAAAATATTTTGATAATATGTTTTTCCTCTAATTAGTTTTATGACCTTAGGCTAATTAATATCTAAGGGACTCAATTTTCTCAAATACAGTTCCTAAATGACTTCCAAGAACCTAGGTGCTTATAAGAATTGGCTATAGTTTATAATAAGTGACATTATAATAAGGATATATCTAAAATGACAATAGATTTAATGGAATTCTCCCTTGGAACCCATAGAAGATAAAATCTGGGACCTTAAAAATAGAATCAGGATCTTTTTCTTCCCTTGGAGCACCTAATGAACCTCTGTCAGCGATCAGCTCAGTGAAGGCCTTAGACGCTTTCAAACCTACTAATTTTTTTTTCCCATCTCACAACTTACATATGTCTTGAATATTTATATTTACACTACAGTTGATGATCTACCCACTTACTGTCGCTTAGTTTTGTATTCTCTAATTTTATCCACGAAGAGTTTCTGTACAGGATCGAGTTCCTTATTAAATGCCACTGCTGTAACACCGATGTTCCTCCTCAGATGGACTGAGACGGCGGACCGAATGAGAGAGGAGAACCTGAAGAGCCTCTGGAGAATCATGGTGATTCTGTTACTGAAAACAAGCACCAGGATATTAACATACTTTAAAATATACATAATTGTAAAACACCTCTAAGTATATCATATAGTGGGAATCTAATTCCACTAATTGTTACAGAACTCAATCATAAACCACACCAGAACTCACTGAATGCTAAGAACAGTCACCTGACCAGGGCTCCCTTCCCCCTCTCCACTCCCCACTGCAAGTTTTTTGCTTTTTAAACAAAAGACCCTGGGACCTACAGGCAGTTAGAAACAACTCCGGCCTGTGTGCTGGGTTAGGTGCAGAAAGGAAGCACAAAATCTGGGATGAGGTGTTTCTTCTCCATTAACTTGGTCTTGGACCACAGGTCAAGAATAAGCATAGTCAAGGTAGAATGTTAGATAACTGCCCATCTCAGGCAGAAAAGAACACTGGCCCCCAAATTAATGTGCCAGGTTATCGTGACCCCCCTCAGAAGACCAAAAGGGAGCTGAGCAGGAATATACAGCCTCCACAGCCGGGCACAGTGCTCTGCTTGTTGCAACTGTAGGATTCCAGGCATTCAAGAATACTATAACAGCCAAATCTAAGTCCAAAAGAACCAGCCCACCAATAAAAGAGAAAAAAATCAAACGGTACAACCTAATCAATAACATAGAATGAAAGGGGTGCCTGCGTTGTTTGAGAGTCTGGCTCTTGATTTTGGCTCAGGTCATGATCTCTCACAGTTCGTGGGTTTGAGCCCCACATCAGGCTCTCAAAAATAAATAAATAAGCGTTTTTTAAAAAGTAAAAAGAAAGAAAGATAAGAACTTCTAGATTTCCAAGTCCTTAGAGCTCCTGAAACTAAAATATATGATTTTCTAACTAAAACATTTCAGCAGATAGGAGCACCTGGGTGGCTCAGTCAGTCAAGTGTCTGATTTCTGCTCAGGTCATGATCTCATGGTTCATGGGTTCGAGCCCCGCATTGGGCTCTGTGCTGACAGCTGAGAGCCTGGAGTCTGCTTCAGACTCTGTCTCTGTCTCTCTGCCCCTCCCCTGCTCAACTCGGTCTCTCTCAAAAATAAATAAACATTAAAAAAAATTTTTTAAAGAATTTCAGCAGATAAACAGAAGATGATTTCAGTTGAGACCTAATTTAGTACCTTGAAAGATCAAATGCCAGAAAAATCTCAAATTACAATAAATGCAAACAAGAATTCCAAAAGAGAAGGAATAGATAAGAACGTCATAAATAATTACAAGAAATTTCACTCAGATTGAGAAAAATGGTGTCTATTAGTTTACCAAACCCTATGTTGGAATGGGGATCCAAGATTCACACCTCAATACAACCTGCTAAAATTTCTGAATCTTAAAAGATAAAATGAAAACCTGCCATGCTAACCTGATTCCCATGACCCTTCCAAATTACCTATTAATAACAATAATCACTGTCATCTTGATGATGAACTTCTATTAAAGTGCTCAGAGTGCTCACTACTGTGGACCAGCAGTAGTATACAAATTGTGTTACTGGCCTATAGTAACAAAAATAGTTAATAAGGATTTAGAAACTTTTATAGCAATTTGATAGAGTCATATATATTTGTTGAATAACAAAAAATCAGTTTGTATTTTATGTGTCTTCACTGTATGATCTTTCATCTAATTTTTACAGTAACTAACTTTCATTGTAGTTTTCAAAGTTAGCCACAAGGGTTAGGGGAAAAAATGGTCCTCTACTACTGAGAGTTTGAGAAGCACTAAGCTAGAAGACCGTAGAGTAACACATAGTTCTGGAGGAGGGAAGGCAATCTCCCAGTACCTCAGGAGATTACTGGCAATGTCTGAACACATTTCTGGTGGTCCTGACTGGGGTGTTACTGGTCTCCACTGGGTAAAGGCCTGGGATGTTGCTAAACATCCTATAATAATGAGAACAAAAATAATAATAGCCATTCCACAACAAAGAGTTATCTGGTCCAAAATGTCAATAATGCAAAAGCCGAGAAGCCCTGGAATCCCACATAAAAACTACCAAAAGAACTCTCATAATCAACAAAATATCCTTCACCTGCCCTGAAAGCAAACTATTTGGAGAAATTAAAGAATTCACCATACATCACCCCTTATATCCCATCAGAGAAAAAATCTCAAGAAGACTCAAAGCAAACAACAAATAACCTTACGGTGCTACGTATTATCATTCCCATTTCACATACACGTAAATTGAGGCTTAGAGATTAAATATGTGGCCCAAGGTTACAGAGTAGACTCCCAGTGGATACCCATCTATTTTAAAATTGTGCAACTCAGGGCGCCTGGGGGGCTCAGCCGGTTGAGCATCTGACTGTTCAGCTCAGGTCATGATTTCAAAGTTTGTGATATAAGTGCTGAGCCTGCTTGGCATTCTCTCTCCCTGCCCCTTCCCCGCTGGAGGAGCATGTGTTCTCTATCAAAAAATAAAAAGTATATATTTTTTAGAAAATCGTTCAATTCAAGGTGTTACTTTCCCTTATGGCAACTTAAGAACATGCTTAACACTCAGCAAGAAAGTCACCTAACACTGGTTCAACCAAAAATATTTCGCAAAGTACTTCCATATACATTCTCTCCCTGAATCCTTAGGGCAACACTATTAATTAACAGTTAGGGAAAGTGTTTTTATCCATCCTTTACAGATACTAAAACTATGTCTAAGAAAGGTTATTACACTGCCCATATCCCCACAGTTAATTTGCTCTAACTCTGATTGCAAAAATCGTGTTATTCCCATTAGGTAAAATCTGTTTTCATCTTTTCAATTTCTATCATCTAAGTATTTTATTTACGTAAGCTCTATGCCAGTGTGGGGCTTGAACCCACACCGGAGATGAAGAGAGGCACGGTGCACCAAGTGAGCCAGCCAGGCACCCCTCTATCATCTAAGTATTAATGATTCCCAAATCACATCTCTAATTGTAGTCTTTTTTCCCTCAACTCTAAACCTACCCATTCAACAGGTCTTCTACGGGACCCTCAAATTCAACTTGTCGAAAAAACGCATACATAATCTCACATCAAAACTTGTTCTTTCTCTTTCACAAATGGTGTAAAATACCAAGTGTGGCGAGTTCTCTATTCAAGTTCGATGGGGTGCCCCGAGAACCCGTGAACGGGACTTGACGGAGAAAGACTGGGGAAGGCAACAGCAAGAGAGTGTACACATGCGAAGAGGCCTTGCGGTAGAAGGTGCTCGGTTCTCCAGTTTACAGCGATGACTGACCGGCCAGAGGTGAGTACTTTCGCTGCCCATTCCGTACAAACTCCTAAACTCAATCCACAACCCGCCTAACCCGACCCACTCTTTTCCCCTCCTGGAAACCTTGTTTTGTTCGCCTGCGAACTTTGGCCTCACCCCTAACTCAAGAAACCCTTCTCCCCCAGTCAGCGTCTTGTTTCTTGGGGTTGAGACGTATGATTGCGCAGGAAAACGGAGTGTAAAACAAAGCTGCCTTAACCACGTTTCAGCACTTCCAGTATCTTCAGGTGGGATGCAAACTTCTAAGATTACTATCATCCCTTCCCCTCCTATGGTGCACATTCGGCTTTAAACTGTTCGGCACAATCTCCCGCGCGCCCCGTAGGGCAGGCCTGGCCGCAGACCTGTCCCGTGGGAATGACCTTGGGCTGCCCCAGCGGGGCCCAGAAGCTCCCGGCCTCCTTACCTCCCCTACCATCCCGGTTTGCCCTCAAAGCAGGGATTACCACGCCTGAATACCGAGTCCACCGCAAACTTCAAAGCCTAAGGGCGCCGAGGTCAGCAGTGACCCTGGACCCGGCAGTAAAAGTGCCCATGACAAAGGGCTGATCTATCCTCCTGAAGGGCAGGGCTAATAAGCAGCCCAGGCCCCAAGAAGAAACCCAGAATCTGACTCCCAAGAGGCCAAGCTAGTCTAACAACGCTGCCAGTCACCTTGCACTCTGTCCCGAGCTGCCACGGCCTCCGCTGCCGCCACCGTTCTACTTCCGGCCCTGGCTCCACCCCCACCCGCCTACCCGCCATCGCAATGCATTATGGGCCGCCGTTTCGGTCGGTCGACACTCACCGGACAGGAAACGTCTCGGAGGCGGTCTGCGACCGGACAGCTCTAGGTGAGACAGAAGCCAAACAGGAGGAGGAAGTGGAGGGTAAGTGCTTCCGGGTCCCTTGGCGAAGCCTCCGCCATCTTTCCTTCGCCTAATTTGACCTGCTGTCTTTTTCCCTCCTGGAATCCTTGTAGTGTACGCATGCGCACTTTGGCCTTTCCCCTAGTTAAATCCTCCCGGACCCAAGTCAGCATCTTGTTCTTTGGGGTTATTGAGGTGTAGGATTATGTCCGGAAAGTGAGAATATAAACAAAGCGGATTGGGGCGTTGGGCATTCTTGTGCCTCGTGAGCCTCCGTTGCCTGGCACGTTTGTTTCGCGCAACCTGCTGGGAGTTGTAGTCCTGGACCCGGGGGTGCCTGGGAGGCGGGAGGGGGGTTGGAGTTTCTCAGCGCCGATTCCGCGGGAAGGGCCCAGGGGCCTTACACTTCGAGTCGCAGGAGCTGCGGGTCTTACTGGAAGAAGCGCTGCACGTGGAGCCCGCGTCCCTGCCGTTCTCAGCCGGCTCTGGAGCGCGGGTGGGGGCGACGGGGCCGATTCCGGAGCGGGTGAGTGCGGCCGCGGAGGAGGAAGGGGAGCGCGGGCCCGCGCGGGCGGCCTCGTTCCGGGGCCTTCTCACCCACAGCGGCCCCCCCGCGGCCGCCTCTGTGTTTTGTTTCCGCTGGTCCCCGGCGCTGTGACTCCCATTTCCGTTCGTGGAGACTTGAGGGAGCCGGGTGGGGAGGGGCGGCTGAGGCAGTGCGGGGAGCAGAGGGGAGGGGCGCGCGGCGCGGGGCCCAGGGAAGCCGCGCGCCCCCGGGCCCCGGGCCCCCCGTGTCACTTCTCGTCGCTCACTTCCTTTGCTGTCCCCTCCTCGCCAGTCCGCCGTCCCTGGCGGTCCCCAGTCGCCAAGGTCGGGACGAGACCCGGACGCCCCCGGGGTTTCGGAGGAAGGTTCTCAACCAGTCTCCTCGCCTACTCAGCGTTGCGCTATCGCTTCAACTCCAGTAGTTTTTCTAGAACTGTCCTCCGGTTTAATCAAAGACACTTACTAACGTATAGTTGTCCAGAGGGGTCAATTTGAGAAACGGGGAAGTAAGAGAAGGGGAAAACAATGGGTTAATGTAGTTTGTCCACATTTTCAGTATTTCGTGTACGAGAGGAGCCGTCTTAAGTGTTTGCAGAGTATTAGGGAATCCCGGCTTGATTAGGTTGACAGCGAGGAGAACAGTGCCTGATACTGCCTTGCAAGATGATGAGTCGTGATTTAGAAATACTGTCCACTTCATAGTTTCCACTAATGAGTTCCACTAGCAGGAATTCCAGGTCTGACTCGTGGGAGGAGCAAAGACTTAGAAAGATTCCCGGGAGCAAAGAGCCGGGCAGTGATAACATTCCTGGGTCCCGTGTGGCTTTCAGCTTAAGAAGAAACTGCTCAGCTCTTAAGCAGCAACTTTGGGGGAATGACCCGTCTGTATCAGGATTTGATCCAGGCTCTTCAAGGTCTTTGGGGTTTGTTGTTGTTGTTGTTAGACCTAGTCTGGCACTAGGTGGATTTAAGTCAATTTACCTGAATTGCATATATACATGTCGTGAGAGATAAATAGTCTTGAAGAAACAAAGTAAGGAGCTAGATGTTAGGTAAGTTATAAGAGCCGAGTTATGGGGAGGCTGAATACTAAAAACTGTTGAGTTTACTCCCTCTCCAACTTCTCTTTGTAAAACTTCAAATCTGCGTTCCTGGAAAACAAATTATACAGTGAAAATCTCCTGGGGCAGGGGTGGGGGTAGGGTCACCAAGTGTTAACCTTTCTCCATACTTGCTCTCTCTCTCTCTCTCTCTCTCTCTCTACACAGATGTATGCGTTTTGGTTTTTTTCTTAACTGTTGACTTTATTTTTCAAAAAAATTTTTTAATGTTTTGCTTATTTCTGAGAGAGAGACAGCGTGAGCAGGGGAGGGTCAGAGAGGGAGATACAGAATCTGAAACAGACTCCAGGCTCTGAGTTGGCAGTCAGCACAGAGCCCAATGGGGGGCCCGAACCAGTGATATCATGACCTGAGCAGAAGTTGGACGCTTAACTAACTGAGGCCACCCAGGCGCCTCTGGGCAAAAATATCTTAAATTCTGTAAACAAACAATACATTCCAGTGAAGAAATACAGTCCTCAAATTTATCTGACTCCAAAAGAATATTAAACATAACTATTTAAAAAAAATTTTAACATTTATTTATTTTTGAGAGAGAGAGATGGAGTGCGAGCAGGGTAGGGGGCAGAGAGAGAGGGAGATGCAGACTCTGAAGCAGGCTCCAGGCTCTGAGCTGTCAGCACAGAGCTGGACAAGGGGCCAGCACCCACAGACTGCGAGCCCATGACCCTAGCTGAAGTCAGACGCTTAACTGATTGAGCTGCCCCGGGCATCCCATTCATAACTGTACTTTAAAGAAAACTAGCCTGTGAAGTTTTCTGAACTCCAGGGTTATATTTAATCTAGGAGAAACAAGGGTTTCAGGAGGCAGCCCTCAGGGGAAGAGGCACCAAGTAAAATGTTCTCTTCTCCATTTTCTTAGGTATTGACATAGAATTCTGGAGGATTGGTTCCAGAAAAAGCTAAGACCTGCTCAAGCAGTGATATCAAAGATTTGGATCATTTCCCAAACCTCTCCATTAATGGTTTCTCTAGCCTGGAGGAGAGAAAGAGATCAATTCTGAGATCAATTCATGAGTAGCGTGATTTCTTCCAGAAGTACAGAAGGCTCATTTTTTGCTCTATTTGGCACCTTGTGGGCACTGAGCTATAACTTTTTTGGAAGCTCGCAGGATAAATTACTTTTAAACACCTCCCTGTTTTAGTGCTTGTTTTAAGTCCAGCCATAGGTATCCCTGCTGTGAAGCCTGCAGATCCATTTCTCAGCCTCTGGTTACTTCTCATTTCTATTTTTCCATAGTTCCCAGAAATTTCACTTGTTTTCTAATTCTTTTGTTAAATAGGCTATGGAGAGGCTCATGGCTGGCTCAGTTGATAGAGCATGCAACCCTTGATCTCTAGGTCTTGAGTTCAAGCCCCACATGGTGGAGCATCCTTGATTAAAATTTTAACAATAAGTAGTGGAAATGAAAGTGAGCAATAAATGTAAGCCCTGAAAGTAAAACATAAGTGATCTTTTAAGTGTTGTTCTGCTATAAACCCTATTCTCGCTTTTTCCTATACGGAACAGCTTTATGATTTTGTGTGTATACATTATTTTCTTGTTTCTCCATGCTAATAAAGTTTCCTAGCGTTTGCTGCTTTCTTGCAGTGGATACTCCTATCGGCCTCAGCTTCCAGCTATCAGCAACAAAGCTGTCCTGGACATCCCGTTATCAGTCTACGTGAGAGTATCTGTGATGCTTATCCCAGGGCATAGTACTGGGTCATAAGTATAATCATACTTCAGTTGAGCAAGTGCTCTTAGATTTTTTTCCACAGTACCTACACCTATCCATTCCCCTATCAACAGAGGTAGAGGATTGTTATGTTTTTAGATCCCTACTATTTTCTGTAGTCAGCATTCTAAATTTTGCCATACATACACCAATAAATGGTATAAAGTGATTGTTCTTTATTTTAATTGCATTTTGGATGATCTGAATTTGAGCATTTTTTCATATCCTTCACCAGTTTGTTTTCTTTTCATGTGAATTTCCTTTTCTTAAAATGCTTTAACTCTTCTAATTTTTCCTGACTTTTTTGAGGTTGTTATCAGTTTGCAGGAATTAATTTTCTAATATTCCAATTATTAGTCCCTTGTCACTTTTGAGCATTGGAAGTATATTTTCCTACGCTGTAGGCTGACTTTTGAACATAAATCTTAATTTTTATGCAGTCAAATCCATCAGTTTCTTACCTTATGGTTTATGTGTTCAGAATTTTATTTAAGAAATTCTTTTCTATCATTAGACTGCAAAACCATTCCCCACCATTTTCTTCTATTAGCATTATAGTTTTACCTTTGTGTTTCAGCCTTTTAGGCACCTGGAGTCAATTTCATATGATGTGCAATAGTCCTTATAGCATTTGCTTTTTTCAACACGTTAATGGAATGCCTACTAGGGTGAGGCACCATTCCAAGTACTGTACTTCGTATACATATGTGAACAAGTGTCCTTGCCCTGTGCAGCTTAAGTTGTCCTATCAGGTAGGTCTCTACTGGGTCATCACTTGTTTTGCTATAGAGCTCAGTATGAATTCCACAGTTTCATACGTAGCATCAGTTAAGGGATAGGCTTTACAGGGAAAAGGGAAGACTTAATTAGTCTGAGGTGAACTAGAAAAGGCCCTAATCTTTAACTCATCCCAAACAAAAGTCTGCTTGGGACCAAGGCAGTCTGCTGGATGTACATGTTGTGTTTCTATTCAAGTGGAGAACCCCTCCCCTTAGTCTTCCTTATAGGGCAGGTGTGAGAGCAACCTTGATAATGTGGGCGGAATCAGGTCATTTTATACCAGATAGTCTAGATTTAGGTACCAGCTGGAGACTATGTTGTCAGAAAACCAGCTCCAGCTGTTAAGAGATGGTGGGACCAAAGGAAAGTTATAGCCCTTCTAAAGTGGGAAAGAAGACTTTTTTTTGTACTACTGTGTGACATATTACTACACAGTGGCTCAAATACCATCAATTAATTATATGCAGTTCTGGAAATCAAGTCTGAAATGGGTCTTATTGGCCTAAAATCAGATGTTGGCAGAACAGTGTACTCTAGAGATTTCAGGAGAGAATTTGTTTCTTTTTTCATCTTCTGGAGGCTGCCTGTGTTCTTGGCTTGTGGCTCCTTTCCTCCAGCTTCAAAGCCAGTCATAGCTGACCCCTGAGTCTTTCTCACTTTGAATCATTCTGGGTCTCTACAGATTTCTAAGGACTCTTGTGATTTTTTTTTTTTTTGGCCCAACTAGATAAACCAGGATAATCTCTATTTTAAGATCAGCTGATTAGTAACCCTGATTCCACTTTGCTATGTAACTTCATGTATTTGCAGATTTTGGGTTATTATGCCTCCCACAGAGACTTTGGTCCCTTGAGAAGTTGAAACCTGGCAAAGCTCCTCCCACCTTAAGAAGCTAGGCAAAGTCCTTGGTCGAGACAAACCAATTTAAGTACCTAGAGTCACCTGGACAATTTTGGTCTTTGTGCTTTGATGATAATAGAATGGAGGGAGAAAGTACATACAGAAATTAATGATAAAGTATGTTAAGAGGGACAGATGCTGTAGATAAGAAAGGGGTAAAGGAGGAGACCGGTTATAGAACTAAATGGGGTGATCAGGGTATACCTCATTGGGAAAAGGAGATTTGAGCAGAGACCTCAAAAAGGTGAGGAATTTAGGCAGGAGGACATCTGGGGGAAGAGGTGCCAGCCAGCCAGAACAGCAGCAACCAAGGCTGTATGAGCAGGAGTTGGAGCAGTAATGGGGTGGGGATGGGGCTGGGACTGGTAGGGCCTTGCTGGCCACTGAAGTGTTTAGGTTTTACTGTGACTGGTATTGATATAGGAGTGCTACAGTTTAAAGAGAATCACACTGGCTGTTGTAGTGAGAGCAAGGGCACAGAAAGGGGGAAACCTGCAAGCAGGGGTTGTGGCAGTATTCAGGTGAGAGATGTGCTGGCTCTCGTGCTCGTGTTCGCAGTAGAGAGCCTGTCTGAACAAAGCACGGTGGAGCCACGTGCAGCGAGCATCACCAACCTCTGGATAGTTTTCACATGAGGACATGTGTGTGTGTACACTGATAATACTCAAAATAAGATTGTCCTGTTGTGAAGATTCTAAAGCATTTGAATGCTTGTGCTCAGCATTCAGTAAATTGTGATTATTAGGAATGAGTATTTGATTTCTTCATTTTGCCAAGTCTTATAAGTGGGAGACTCCTTTGCAAATATTAGAATATCAAATTTAGAGGATCATTTCCTTGTAAGTCAAAGGCACTTAGGGGTGCCTTTTAGATGTGATAGTAAACTTAGAAAACTATGCTAGACTGAGAGTATATATGGAGTCCAAAGACAAAGTCATTGATCTCCAGTGAGATTGTAACAGAATCTGGAACTTAACAGCATTAACACCTCAGAAATGGCCTCAAAGAAATACCAATATATACAGCTACGTTATGAATTACTTAGCATTTTTTAAATTATAATGGTTTTGTATCAATGATAGATTAAAGCAGCAGGTAATAATTTTACATGACAGAAATAAAAAATTGAAATTAGTGGTTTAAGATACATAAAAGCACATCTAAAAAATCTCAAAATTTTAACTTATAATCAGAACAGTAATGTGCCTATCTATAATGATTTGCTATTTATTTTGCTATTTGAGAATATAGTACTGACTTTTATAAGACCTGTAATTTGTAATACAAATGCTAGCTGTAATTAACTTTAATGTACGTTACCCTATCATTATAATGCTTTGTTGTAAGTTCTGCTACTATATGTATAGCTTTTAGCTGAACAGCTGTGGTTCATTTCCATGTTAATTTTTAGGGTACAGGTTTGAATCCATTATTAAGACTGAGGTGCTATAATAGAATTGACATACCTTTCACTTGATTTTGAAGTAATTTTAATTAATTTATTGACCAAGACTTTGGGCCAAAAATCATCCCAATAAATATAATGGAATGATGAAGAAGTCATGTCAGGTTAATATAAATAATCATTGTGGATTTTCTTTTATGTGTGAAGATTACTTCCTCTTCTGCTTACCCTCTGCTTTTATTTAAATTGGATTTCTACTTTTCATATAGCATTTCTGCCTTAACTCTTGCAGGACTGACCTATTGAAATACTCCAACCATGACTAAAAGAGAAGCAGAGGAGCTGATAGAAATTGAGATTGATGGAACAGAGAAACCAGAATGCACAGAAGAAAGGTCGGTGTTTTCTGAATTTACTACTTTTTATAATTCACAGCATACCTACTTAAAAATCAAGGTACAGTTTTTTTGGGGGGGGGGTGTGCTTTTTTTTTTTTTATTCCCAACTGACCTTAGTATTTGGGGGAGATAATGTATTGCTTTTTTACCTTTGACTTAATTGCTTTGTAGCTGGGAGGGAAAGAGTTTTAAACTAAAGGTAGTAATAAATTTAGCTGATAATAATCAAGCAATTGATTGTGATACTTCTTTCCCTGAGGATACTGTTTGATTCTTTTTCCTTTCCTCAATGCTGGTTATTTTTATTTCAAAAAGAGTTTTATTTACAAGCTGAAATAGTTTTAACAAATATCTATAAGTAACAGCTAAAAACTAGTAACTGTCAGGAACATATGAATAAGTAAGACAGTAACCTGCCTTTGTAGAGGCCACATTGTGTGTGAGGAGGCAAATAAATACATGGATAATCACGTGCACAGTACTAAGTATATAGTGGTGTGAAAGGTGTTCTTCTTGGAATAGTAATGAAATATTACTCCATTACTACCCTTATTCCATTAAGGAAGGGTAGTGGTAATGAGTTCCTATTACCCAGGGACACAGTCTGGGTAAAAATAGAGATTTGAGAGTCAAGAAGGAGTTTGAGGAAGGTGATGGCTAATGGTCCCTACATTTCTCTGTAAAGCAGGCAATGACATAATACGTTGAAAGTAAAAGGAACTGAAGAGTAGAGGACTTAAGCGAAATAAAAAGGTTTAGAACAATTTTGTTTTGAATGGACAATTACTAAGGTTGACAAGGATACTGAACATTGAGAGTAGAGCTGAGATTTAAGACTTAAATTTTTAATAGAGCTTTTCAACATGTTTGATTATGCTATTTTCTCCTCCTTTAATTATTGGATAGGTGTGTAGGTATACATACATTTGTTTGTTTATGTCACAAATTACCCCAAAACTTAGCTACTTGAAACATGCAACATTTATTATTGCAGTTTCTCAGAGTCAAGAACCTGGAAGCAGTTTAGCCAGATGGTTCTGGCTCAGGGTATTTCATGACCTTATAGTTCAGCTGTCTGTCACTCTGGGCTACTGTCATCTGAAAAGTTGTTGACTGGGGCGAGCAGATCTGCTTCTAGGATCACTCATTCCCTGACCACGTGGGCTTCTCTGTGGCTCCTCAGGACATGGAAGGTGGCTTCCCTTAAAGCAGATGGTGTGAGGTAATACTTCCCAGGAGAGACGTTGTAGTGTCTCCAAGGGACCTCTGAGGTGATGCACTGCTTCCAGCTCCGAACAGTGTGGGAGGCAGAATATTAGGAGGTGAGGGTCACTTGGGTTCTTGGAGCCTGACGTGTGTCAATTTATGTTTATGTAACACACAAATGGCCCACAGAACCTAAAGTGTTTACTGCTAGGCCCTGTACAGAAAATCTCTGCAGAGTCTGTCACCTGTAAGAACTTGATAGTTACTAGGTTGGCCTGGGGAGTAGCTGTAAAGGAGCAGTTAGCACTCCGAAGCCACCGTCCGCTCCCTGTTGTGCAGGGGTTAAGGTCCCGTGATAGGAGATCGTCCATAGTTTTTCAAGAGAAATTCAGATTTTTTGCATGAAATTTCCCAAGGTTTAAGTGGTAGCAACAAAATATTAAAAAAAAAATTTTTTTAATGTTGAGCTCACATAAAGTAGGTCTTTTAAAATGTCTTAAAGTGACATTTCTTTTAAAGAATGATTGCTACAGAAAAAGAAAAACCTAGCCTGTGGTGTGATAGCTAAAGAATTTGTTAGAAATACTTGGCCAAAGACCCAATTGTTTTACCTTAATAAAAATAATGGTAATAGTTTACAATTATTTAAAAATAATCTTTGTTTTTAATCATGAGTGTTCTATTATGAACTTTTATTAAAGTTTTAGAAGAAATTTGGGTTATGTACACTAACAAGTGGGAGTATCGTACATATATCACTTTATACTTGGAATTTATGTGAAAATGGACCTGGACAAATTTTTAAATACATGATGCTGTCTTTGACAACTGCAAATAAGATTCAAATCATATTAAGTGTGCTGTGAAACTTAACTGAATTCCAGATTCACTAATTTAGCAAGATATTATTTGATGTGTGCCTTCTGTTCGACACCATACAAGGATTTCAAAAAAGTATGTAGAATTGTTTGCCAAAGATTTTACCCTTAAGGAACTTAAGATTTCATAGAATTCAGAGTATGAAATAACAAATACAGAAGAGTCTCAGACAGCTTTAAAGCAGGAATGTAATTTTTTAAGTGTGGAATTACGCTGATCATGCCTTATGATTTACATTTATGTTGGTAAAGGAAATTGACGAGTAGAAATGGTACACAAATTTTAAGGAGACTCTTTTATCTTCCATTCTGGGCCTAAAATTTTTCACAATAACTTGAAAATGTAACATAAATGCAAATGGACCCTGATAAATATTGCATATGTAGTATTTTTATATGTATGCACACATATGGACATATATATACCTAGAGAGATCTATCTGCAAGGATATATCTTTACATTTCAAGCTAACTAACATTTCTCTGTGATTCAGTATTCAATTTGGCAACAGTAGTTGGTGATAAGCCTGCCACTATGAATAGTGTCTATGCAGAAATGAGTTTCAAAGACCAGAAATGTGTTTTGGTATTGAATTTTGGTTTGAGTGTAGTTACTTTAATATCCAGGGTAAAAATGTAGTTGTTAACAATTATATCCTTTAATATTTAGCATTGTAGAACAAACCTACACTCCAGCTGAATGTGTAAGCCAGGCTATAGACATCAATGAGCCAATAGGCAACTTAAAGAAACTACTGGAACCAAGACTACAATGTTCTTTGGATGCTCATGAAATTTGCCTGCAAGATATCCAGGTAAAAACAAAAAAATTTTTTTTGTTTGAGATTTATGTTTCAACATTTAAGTCTGCATTAGAATTTTTTTAAAGTAATCGTTACACCTGCACGAACTAAGAACCCCCAGATCAACAACTGCATGATTTACCAACTTGAGTCAGCCAGGAGTCCCAGAAATGTTTTTTTGTTAGCCTTTTATCTCTATAGCTATAGTCTGTATAACTAAATTTAAGCGTTTAGAAATAAAAGTTCTTGGGGCGCCTGAGTGGCTTAGTCGGTTAAGCGGTCCGACTTTCACTTAGGTCATGATCTCGCGGTTCGTGGGTTCGAGCCCCGCGTCGGACTCTGTGCTGACTGCCAGCTCAGAGCCTGGAGCCTGTTTCAGTCTGTGACTCCCTCTCTCTCTGACCCTCCCCTGCTTACGCTGTCTCTCTCTCTCTCTCTCTCCTAGAAATAAATAAAAACATTAAAAAAAAAATTTAAAAAGAAATAAAAGTTCTTCTAGCAAAGTTCTCTCCATTTAAAATTATATTTAAAAGATTGAGTACTAAACCAAACATTTGCTTTTTACTTTCACAAATATAAAATAAGTTCAAATACATGTGAATCAAAGCCTAAACATAAAGTAGTGAGACACACATTGACATTGGAACCTGAAGTGTGCCTTCCTCACACCCTGTTTCTAACTAGCTTTTAGCTTTTTTGTGTATTAGTTTCCTTATCTATAAGAAGAAAAAATTTGACTAAATGACTTTTACGTTCCCTTCCATTTTAATTTGCTCCAGCAATGAATTTCGGATAAGAACTTAAATACTAGTGTATATATTTCTTAGAGTTTATTGGAATAGGATTTTAGCTGTGGTTGTAGTTCAACAGTGTATTATGTTTTCAGCATATTCATAGGCATGTTTTATCGTATTCTTTCAAGAAAGGTAGTATTTTCATATATAAAAGGTAATGGCTTAGATAGAATTGCTCAGACCTTCCTTGTTTAAAGGAGTAAGTATTAGAGTTTTATACTGTTTTTTTATGCTAATTTATACTAATACAGATTGTGTCCTCTTTAGGATTATTTGGGATTATTTAATCTCTTTTCTTCTCCCCTTTGCTTGCCTTGTGACATAGCTATTCCATGTGTTGTAGGACTTTTGCCTTAGTTTTTTAGAAATAATCATCTTTTTTTTTTTTTTTTTTTTTTTTAAGTTTATTACTTTGAGTGAGAGTGCGCGGGAGGGGCAGAGAGAGAGAGAAAGAGAGATAGGAAGCAATAGAGAATGCCAAGCAGGCTTTGCATTGTCAGCACAGAGCCTGATGTGGGGCTCAAACTCATGAACCATGGTATCATGATCTGAACCAAAGCCAAGAGTCGTCTGACACTCAACCGACTGAGCCACCCTGGCACCCCTGTCTATTACTTTTAAATAATATTTTGATGTAGAGTAAGTTGAAATGTTTAAATGAAACTTGTACATTTCACTTGGCACTCAGCCATACTTTTATCTTTTCCTTTCAGTAGTAAATCTAGTAAATGTTGAAAGGGGCAAGGGTATTGTTCTTCTAGAAATAGAGAATGTATGTGAGTCTAATAATATAATTTTTTAAGATTTAAGTCTTCTCTTAGAGAAAAAATTAGCAAAGTCTTTTTGAAGGTTATCTGGTATTTAGCGTGTATTAATATTAAATGTGAAATACCTAGTAGTTCATCTCAATAAATTGTTCTTACAGAAATCCTCATCTAGGTGAGCAAAGTTCTACATCTGAGATGTTCATTGCATGGTTGTGCAGAAACTGAAAATAAGTCAGATGTTCCAAAAACAGAATTAGATAAATGATTTGTGTAGATTGGCATTTAAGGCAGCCATTAAAAATTGGTGAAATGGAGCTATATGGGCAGTTTACCTTGAATGAAAAAATAATTGGAGGGGTGCCTGGGTGGCTCAGTTGGTTAGGCATATGACTCTTGATGTTTGCTCAGGTCATGGTCTTGTGGTTGTGGGAACTTGTGGGATTGAGCCTCACTTTGGGCTCTGTAGACAGCATGGAACCTGCTTGGGATTGTCTCTTTTTTCCTCTCTTTCTGCCCCTCCCCTGTTCTCAGTCTCTCTCTCAAAATAAACTTTAAAAAATAATAATTAAGAACACTGTTACATTTTATCATTTAACATTCACATCAGTTTTTGAAATCAGCATTTTATTTTTTAATTTTAGAAAGAAAGCATGAGTAAGGAGAGGACAGAGTGGGGGGGAGGGAAGAGAGAGAGAGAACCTTAAGCAGGCTCCATACTCAGTGTGGAACCCATCACAGGGCATGATCCTAGGATCATGACCTGAGTCAAAATCAAGAGTCAGATGTTCAACCAACTGAGCCATCTAGTAGCCCCAAAATCAGCATATTCTTAATTACATTCTACAGATGTAGAAACTGAAATTTAAAGAAGTTAAAAATTTGTCCAATGAATAACTACAAAGAGATACATTGGAATTTGAACCCAGGCTTATGTGACTTCAGAATTCTTGTTTGAGGCAGACTTTTAGAAAAAAAGTTTGTATTGAATAACTCAATGTCACTGGGCTTTACCTCATTTTTCTCATCTTTAAAATAAAGGGGAAAAAAAAGAAAGGGGAATCTGGACTTGATCTCTTGTCTTTCAGCTCTAACATTTATTGCTTTTTTGTGGCGCCTGGGTAACTCAGTTGGTTAAGCATCCGACTTCAGCTCAGGTCATGATCTCACGGTTTGTGGGTTCGAGCCCCACATCAGGCTCTGTGCTGACAACTAACTCAGAGCTTGGAGCCTGTCTTCGGATTCTGTGACTCCCTCTCTCTCTGACCCTCCCCTGCTCACGCTGTCTCTCTCTCTCAAAAATAAATAAAACATTAAAAAATTTTAATTAAAAAAAACATTTATTGCTTTTTTTTTTTTTTAATCATACCTGGCCTAACCAAGATGAAAGTATTACCTGCAAAGTACCCAAAGTATCATAAGTTCTCAGTAAATATTAGTTGAATAAGTGGAAATACGCATAATTCATAGTATCACAGAATTCAGAACTAGCCTAGGATCTAAAGCATTTTACATTCGTTCCCTGTTTTCCTTTCTCTCCTTAAAAAGAATGTGAGAATAACAACTTCTCTTCTTCATAACAACTAACCACATGCATTTGGAGTCAGAATGCTTGCTGCTTGTGGTGATGCTTTTGTGTTTTCAGTTGAATGTCAACTTGAAAGCTGATGGAAAGTAGCAGAGTTGTGCTTCTTTGAGAAGTATGTGAACTAGCTAGTATATTCAGCACTACCTGAGAGTTCACTGTCAGAGTTCCACGTGCTGTAGCTTCTACTGGACCACACCAGTGCCTACTGCACAGAGGAGGAATCTGGGTATCAGGAGAGTTTTTAACAGAGCATCAAGCAGAGAGACTTCTTTTAAGGAGTAAAACTACCATGTTTGACCTGTCTTTCTGTAGGGTTATACAGTTTGTCTTATCCCTGTTCATATTTAGACCTAAAGTCATTTAAGATTTTAGGTTTTATTTATATGACTACTTTTTTAATGTTAGAAAATGTGTTTGTCCCATGACTACAGCATTGACTGAATTCTTGGGAATGGGAATGGGAGGAGCTTTGTGCCTCCAGCTGCATGGAATGCAGGCACACAGATGTATACCTTATTCAAGATAATTCCAGTGCAAGTGTACTTTTAAATGGTGACAGAAAATGTCTGGAAGTCAGAATCTTACAATTTGTCCTCAATTTCCATTGTGTGAAATGCATTGACTATTAGGAGAAGTGAAGGATAAATGCACTAATACTGAAAGGATATAGACTTATTGTAGAAGATACCAAAGCTAGGTCAGGTAGTAAGCTCATAAGCTTTAACTTTATTAACTGCATTACCAGAGATTTAGAGTTAACCCTGATCTTAAATATGTGTCATTGCTAATTCGGGAGACTTGGCAAAAATTATGTTAATAGATTTATATAAAAATCTCCCCACTAATTAAACACCCTTGCTTATTTGTGACAGATAAATTGCATTATTGCCTACTTTTAATATATATACAGAATAAATAGTAATAATGCCTTTTGGCATTATTTAAAATCCTAAACTAGACTCCAGAGCTAGAGCAAACCATCACCTCAAATAAATTTGGTTAATTTATCTTGTCTTTAATTACTACCATGGTTGTTAAAATATGTTTAATTTCGACAAAGAAATGATATGACAACTTGGATAATTAGTTGTGTTCTTATAATTCCATTAGTATGTCTCAGAAATTAAGTCCTGTTTGAACATCCATTTATATTAAACCAGATGACTGAACTAAAATTTGTCTTTATCATTTTCCCATGTTTAGCTGGATCCAGAACGAAGTTTGTTTGACCAAGGAGTAAAGACAGATGGAACTGTACAACTTAGTGTACAGGTAATTTCTTACCAAGGTAAGCTACTTTTAGTGTAGTTACTTTAGTTCAGGTTTTTTAAATATGGGAGAACTCAGTTTTACAAGTTTCAGGTATTTTAGGTAGTTGTCTGAATTACCTAATGTGATGTTATAGCCACATATTCATGCCTTTGGTTTAATAATTCTATCTGTCAGGGTGAAGTAGATAGTATAACATATTCTACCTAGTTTACTCAGGGAAGAATGTATTGTAAGGTAGAGAGAGGTGGAAATAGACATTCTGGTTCACGTGCTCAGAACACCTTAGCCACACTGCAGAGCCGGATTGCCGAGGGAGCTGCTGCCCTGCCACGGAAGCCACCAAAGCTCAAAGCCACCGCTGTAGCGTCAGCGTAGAACAGTGACCCACGCTAGCCAGAAATATAGGTGTCATTTACTCAATTCCAAATAGCAGGCTTATGCCAGTGATTCTAGAACCTGAATCCTAACCGGAACCCTAGCTGCAAAGGAAATCGAGTCTCTACAGTTTAGCACAGAGAGCAGTTTGCAAAAGATACTAATCTTGTGTAAGTACAAAACTTAGAAAATTAGGAAACTGTTTTTGGTAGGTTGAATCTTGGGTTTTAAAAATATGGCTCGTTAGGAGTTCTGGCCAGAGTTTTGGACTAATTTAAATGTTTGAACGTAATCTATTGCTCATAATCACAAATCAGAGTGTTCTCAAACTATGAAAATGGTAGTTATCTCCTCATCTACAATTTCCCCCAAGATTGACCATCATTGGCAAAAAGAAAGAAATTTCTTGTTTTTAAAAGCCTAGTGACTTCTCCGTGCAAGTGTATTTAGGAAGAGTTGACTTGATGAAATTTGAATGGAGGATTAGAGATTAATTTTAGGAAAAAAATTTTTAAAAGTTCCAGTTCTTTTTTTCATGTGTATTTGAAAAAATGTGACTTATCTTTGGACCAGATAATGAATGATAAGCTATATATTTTATTGTAGAGTTGGTTTTCAAGGAGAATTGAAGTTCACTTTTGTTTTTTCTTTCAAATACACTTTGATTAAATTGGATATAGATTAAAACAGATGAAATGACCAAACAGTAGCTGTTAAGTAATATGATAGTTTCTTAGAGCTGTCATTGTAACAGAAGTATCTGAGCTGATATTATAAAGACCTAGTGTATTCTGTTTTGAATATCTTAAGAATTTGGGATATTATTTTTTCATTCAATTGAAAATGGAAATCAGAAGCTAATAATGTGAATTTAAAACACTCAGTGCCAATTCATTTTTAAGACATGCACTTTGACCTTTGAAAAGAAAAGCAGTCAGTAAATAATTTCAATTTGCTTAGAAGGACTTCTAAAAATTCTGCAGGTGGATAGCTACTCCTTTATATTCTCCCTAGTCTAGCTTTTATTTTCTAATCCATATTGGTACTTTTTTTCCCCTAATAAATGTTTATGAGTAGCTGTGTGTGTGGTGGTAGTAGTAGTGGTGGTGATTTTAAATTGTCTTAGACTTAATAGAAAAGTTGCAAGGCGTGCCTGGATGATTCAGTCAGTTAAGTGTTGGACTTCAGCTCAGAACATGATCTCACAGTTTGTTAGTTCAAGCCTTGCTTCAGGCTCTGTGTCATCAGCTCAGAGCCTGGAGCCTGCTTTGGATTCTGTTCTCCCTCTCTCTCTGCCCCTCCCCTGCTCATGCTCTGTCTCTCTCTCAAAAATAAAAAAACTAAAAATTAAAAAAAAAACGAAAAAGTTCCATGAATAGTAAAAGAATTCCTGGATGTCCTTTACCCAGATTCCCCAAATGTTAACTTTTATTTCATTGGCTTTGTTCTCCGTCCACCCATCCCCATGTTATCTTTTTTGCCCTGTTTAAGAATAAGTTGCAGGGATGTCTTGGTGGCTCAGTCAGTTAAGCATTCAACGTCAGGTTGGGTCTGATGACGTGACAGCTCACAGCCTGGAGCCTACTTTGGATTCTGTGTTGCCCTCTCTCTCTGCCCCTCCCCTGCTTGTGCTCCGTCTCTGTCTCTCAAAAATAAATGTTTAAAAAAAAAAAAGAAGAAGTTGCATACGTGATCTCTTTCTATCTACATCAGTGTATGTGTTTTCTGAAAACAAGGAATTCTTTTGTATGACATTACAATAATCAAAATCAGGAAATTAATCTTGACACAGTACTCTTATCTACTAAAGGTCATTGAATAATTGTATTTATGTGTACAAGAGTGTTTACCCTTCCATTTGAGAATGCCTAAACTAAGCTAGTGACTTTTTAGTACCTTTTACGTTTCCATTTAGATTTACCTTTTTTTTAATTCACTTTTAAGGAATTGAGCCTAAGCTAAACATCCTTGAAATTGTTAAACCTGCGGAAACAGTTGAAGTAGTTATCGATCCAGATGCCCACCATGCTGAAGCAGAAGCACATCTTGTTGAAGAAGCTCAAGTAATAACGCTTGACGGCACAAAACACATCACAACTATTTCAGATGAGACCTCAGAGCAAGTGACACGCTGGGCCGCCGCGCTGGAAGGTTATAGGAAAGAGCAAGAGCGCCTTGGGATACCTTACGGTAATAAAGTACTTGATTATGTGTTGGGGGTGTAACAGGCATTAAGCTTGACATGGAAGACACTAGGGTGAGTAAGTTATACTCTGTTTTTGATGTTGAATATTTAGGAAGAATATTGATTTTCTATACTTTTTTATCCTCTGTGGACAGATATTTTTGCAGGTGCTGGGAATACAAAGAAATAAAAAACAAAATCTGCTTTCAGAGTGTTCGCAGTGTAGTTGAAGAGAGAAAAGATAATTGAAAAGAAATAATTGCCATAAAAGGTAGCATGGTTTTAAGCTGTAACTTATATATGTATAAAGGGGATATGCTGTCAGAATCTCAAGGGATCACAGTGGCCTGAGGGGAAATGGGGAAAAGGTTTTTTATAGACACAGAAACTGATGGGCAGAGAAGGACAGACCAGACAGGAAACAAATGAGCAAAAGGTAGACATGGGAGTGAGTATGTAGGACTAGTGAGGTTTGGTGGAGTTACCCTCTAGCAGTAGCAGTATAGAACTGCTTTTGACTGATGGATGTGACCATGTGGCAGGAGTACATGGCATACGTTGGTGCGCATAGAGACTGAATGAAGAGAAAACAGGCATGTTATGGTTGAGTTGTGGCTAGGTGATAATGTCTGGGTTAGTCTGGGCTTGATAATTTCTGGGGAAAGAGATGAATGAAAATAGTGATGGGACTGAGCAACTGACGGATGGATGGATTGTGTGAGGATAGAAAGGAGAGGAGCAAGTACTGATGCACCTTCTTAAGCTTGGGTACATATAGGGCAATAGTGATGAGAACTGGTTACATCTTCATTACATATTTAGAGAACTGTATGTGCTAGGCATCATGTTAAATGCTGGGTTTTTGACAGTACATAACAAAGATGGTCCGTGCCCTCCAGAGCTTAAGTGGGAGAGGTAGGGAAGTCTGGTGTTGGGAAGATTTTTTCAAGAGAAAGTAGTACTACTTTTGAATGGCATATACTCAACTGAAGGTAACCAGAAAGTATTTTCGGTATACAAGATTTGGACTGGAGGTGAAGATGTTTTCAGGGACTACACTGTATTGAATTTGTATGAAGCCATAAAATATATGCAGCCTCTGATGGAGAGAGACAAAATGGAAAGGAGCACAATGGAGCTTGTCAAAATTTCAGGTTGAGGAAAAGGAAGGGAGATAGAATGGCTGAAGAGACAGAAGGAAAATACAAAATGTATACAGTGAGATTGGACTGAGATTGGAAAAGAGCTGTAGATGGGCAAGACTGCTCACACTGACAACAAAGGAAAAAAAATGCCAGCTGAGTAGTATCTATTAAATTTGGTGATCAGAGGCTCATTGGTAGATTTAGAAAAAAGTGACTATAGAGTTAGAAAAAGATGAATTATAGGAAATAAATAGACATGGAAATGGAAACAACAGAATATTATCCTTTGTTGGGGGGCAAATGGGAAGAGTGGTGAGAGAATAAATAAATATTATTGAAGGTTCGAAGAGTTGTTGGTAAGCTGAGTATTTGTAGATAAAATGGTTTGCCACTAGCTGGAAAAGGGTAGATGAAGGAAGCCAGGAGAGGGGTTTTGAATTGGAACGTGAGGGAAGCCCATTTCAGAGGATGAGATCAAGCCTGTTCCTCAGAGATGGTGTAGTTGACAGTATTGTTACCTGTTTCTGATGTGTGGAAGCTAGCATAGATGTTGTGCTTGACCTGGTTACTGAGTCACCCCTGAGAGGAAATGCTGAGAAGGAAAGAAGGGAGCATAAAAACATTTGAAATAATATTTTACATAGTTTGCTAGACTTTCAACAAGAACTTTTTCAGTAGTAGAAACCTTTTTTTAAATTAAATATAATTTATTGTCAAGTTAGCTAACATAACAGTGTATACAGTGTGCTTTTGGTTTCAGGTGTAGATTGCCGTGATTCAGCATTTATATACAACACCCAGTGCTCATCCCAACAAGTGCCTTCCTCAATGCCCATCACCCATTTTCCCCTCTCCCCTGAGTAGTAGAATCTTTCATGGAGAGTAATAGTAATCTTGTAGAGAGCAAGATTATAAACTCTGACTCAGAGTTTCTACCAAGGGTACTATTTACTTAGAATAAAGGTTTTTTAAAATACTTCACATTTATTTAGGTATAGGGAAATTTTTTTCATCATTGATTTTTTTTTGTCCTAAAATTGTTAGCAACTGGAAAGTTTTAGAAATTTAATTACTATTTTCTTAGAAAACTATTGTTTCAGGTTTCTTTCTGCACATAAGGGTAGTTATTTTGCAATTGCTTATTAATTCTGTGCAAAATTGAAATATGGCTGACTGGTCATAGCTACTTTATTTTTTTTTAATTTTTTAATTTTTTTTAAATGTTTTTTTATTTATTTTTAGGAGAGAGAGAGAGAGAGACAGCGTGAGCAGGGGAGGGTCAGAGAGAGAGGGAGTCACAGACTGAAACAGGCTCCAGGCTCTGAACTGGCAGTCAGCACAGAGCCCGATGTGGGGCTCGAACCCACGAACCGTGAGATCATGACCCAAGCGAAAGTCGGTCGCTTAACCGACTAAGCCACCCAGGCGCCCCTGGTCATAGCTACTTTAAATCTCTTTGAAATATTGGTCCACATTGGACAGTTCCTTAAGTTCATTTTATACATATCAACTTTATATCTTTTTTTTTTAATTTTTATTTATTTCTAGGAGAGAGGGAGAGAGAGACAGCATGAGCAGGGGAGGGTCAGAGAGAGAGGGAGTCACAGACTGAAACAGGCTCCAGGCTCTGAGCTGGCAGTCAGCACAGAGCCCGACGCGGGGCTCGAACCCATGAACCGCAAGATCATGACCTAAGCAAAAGTCGGACGCTTAACCGACTAAGCCACCCAGGCGCCCCTCAACTTTATATCTTGACAGGAGCTTAGAACCACCTGATCATATATATATAATCCTTTGACTTTTAGATTTTTCCAGGACTCCTATTTTTTCTGCTGGTTTTGTTTTTGTTTTTGTTTTTGTTTTTTACTATTTCACATTTAAAAGCTATAGATGAGAATCAAATTAATGAATTTATGGTAGTTAGAAGTCTAGTCAAATGGGATGTTCAAGCTGACTAAAGTTAAAGTCTATTTATTCTTATCCTTTTTTAATAAGAATATTAAAAAGATGACTATGCTTATTTACATTTAATTTTTCTTCCAGTTTGAATAATTAACAAGAAAGATATTCATGTTTTTGGCTCCCAAAATTGTCAGATATTAACATTTTAAAATATTACAAGTGTTGGGGTGCCTGGATGGCTCAGTCAGTTGAGCATCTGACTTCAGCTCAGGTCATGATCTCATGACTCATGAATTCGAGCCACACGTCAGGTTCTGTGCTGACAGCTTGGAGCCTAGAGCCTGCTCTGCCCTCCCCTACTCATGTTCTCTCTCTTTCCTTCTTCTTCCCTCCCTCCTTCCCTCTCTTCCTCTCCAAAATAAACATTAAAATTTTTTTTTTAATATTACAAATGTAAAATACCCGCTACAAAAAGAGAAGAATGTAAAATTGTTTAAATTGTTTGTTGATTACATGTTGAAATAACATTTGGATCTGCATTAAATGAAATTATTATTAAAATAATTCATTTTATTTTTTTAATGTAATTTTTTAAATGTTTTATTTATTTCTGAGAGAGAGAGAGAGAGAGAGACAGCGTGAGCAGGGGAGAGTCAGAGAGAGAGGGAGGTACAGAATCTGAAACAGGCTCCAGGCTCTGAGCTAGCGCTCAGCACAGAACCCGACACAGGGCTTGAACCCACGAACTGTGAGATCATGACCTGAGCCGGAGCCGAAGCCGGACACTTAGCCATCTGAGCCACCCAGGCGCCCCTAATGTAACTTTTAGAAAATTTTTAAGTTACACAGTACCCTGCATTATATCTCTCTTGGACAGCTGCTGGTCTAGACCATTAGACCATTGTAGCCTTCAGTTCTGGGAAATTTTCCTGCATTATTATTTTGATAATTACCTTCTGTGTTTTTCTTTCTTATTTCTGAAATTCCTGTTGACTCTCCTGGACTGATCCTCTATATCTTTACTCTTCTGCTTGTCATTTCTGTATCTGTCTGTACAGCTTTGCCAAATATCTTGTCTTTTTATGTAACAACCTGTCCTGATAGTTACTTTCACTTCACAGGATTCTTTATTTTTTGTTTATTGTTTTTAGCATTCTGATCTCAGTATTATGGGTATCATGTTTTCTCTGACCTCTGAATATGTTCATTATTGCATTGGGGTTTGTAAAAATTTTTTTTGCATTTTGGTATGGCATTATTTCTGTCTTTCCTGGGTTCTGTTTTTCTGTTTATTTTTGTTTGTTAAATGGTTTGTTTTTAGACTCATATATCTGATTCTTCCTGCTCATCTATTCATCTTTAAGAGTGAATAACTGTTTTTAATGTTTATTTTTGAGACAGCACCAGTGGGGGAGCACAGAGGGTGGGATGGAATATCCAAAGCAGGCTCTGCACTGACAGCAGTGAGCCTGATGTGGTGCTCAGACTCACGAACTCTGAGAACATGACCTGAGCTGAAGTCGGATGCTCAACCACCTGAGCCACCCAGGTGCCCTAGAGTGAATAACTTTAAACCTAATTAGTTTGAAGCTCTGGAAGGGGTTTCTTGACCGTACACAGGTAAAATGGAATATTGGTCATTTCATTAAAAGATTTTAAAGGGCCAGTATGTATAGATCTTTGTCCTGGGTTTCTTTAACTTTTCTGGAGAATTTGCCAAACTCCTGATGGGTAGAACATTGGAGTGAGGATTCAGGGTTGACATGTATGTGAATGCTGCATTCTGGAAGTGGAAAGGGAAGTGCAGAAGGTCTCACTCTTCAGTTTGTAGATTTTTATTACTGGGATCTGTTCTCCCAGGACCTGTTTCATGTCTGTCACTGATCTTAAAGCGTGCCTGGGATTGGGGGAAGGGTATGGACATGTGTGTTGGGGGCGGGGGGGGGGTGCTTCTACTCAGTTGGCTCCTGAGAATGAAGGAGAGACCCTCGAGGCTGTAACCACACCATACATTTCGTTTTCCCCATACACTTCCTCCGCTCCCTGGCACCACCATGACTGGAGCGTTTAAGGGGGTTCTGCAGGTAGGAAACTCCTCGCTATATCCTCCTTGAAAGATATGTTAGGTCAGAACTTCTCCTTCTTCACTTGATTTTTACTCTGCTTATGGTCTTCAAAAATGAGTTGAAAATGTCCCATCCATTTGTCATTTTCACTCATGGTCCTATGCATTTACTTCTTTTAAAAATTCCTTAACTTTAATTTTATTACGGTCTTAGAGAAAATAAGCAGGATGAATATGCATAGACAGTTAGTTACGTTAAACCAGAAGTCCTGGTGTTATTTAAGAATACAAATCAGGCTAATTTCTATATTTCCCCAACTTTTTTGATCTTGACCCTTTTTTTTTTGGTTCATGTTTATGTAAAATGAGGTTACTTGAACTTTTAAAGGCAAGTGTGGTTCAGGATAGCTTCTCTAACTTTTCAGAACTCACTCTTCTGTTATTTTCAAGTAGTACGAAAGAATTGAGCCACTTAGGGGTGCCTGGCTGGCTCAGTCAGAAGACGATGTGACTCTTGATCTCAGGGCCATGAGTTCAAGCCCCACTTTGGGTGTAGAGATTACTTAAATAAATTAAACTTTGAAAAAGAGCCATTTTCTTGCTCAGTTCCTGCCTGTTCCCTTACTCCACTTTTATCTGGACCTCCTCTCTCTTTTTCCTTGGGGTTCCTGTGCTACTCAACTTCGATTCCATTCCCTCTGGTTCCTCCTCATTGTGGTCCGCTCTCCTGGACGTGATCCACAGCTCAGTTTGAAGAGCTCACAGATGCTACGCTGCTCCAGCCTTTACCTTGGACTTTTACTGTGGACTTTTGTGCTCAGCTGTTACTCGATTGGGCAGGACCGTTTGAGCTGCTGCTTTGGCTTCGCCTGTTGTGCTTTCAGTGAAAACTTGTTGGCTGCGTTCGCGTTATCAGAATGAAGAATGGGTCACGTGTCCCTTTGCTTCCTGCCCTCTTTGCTCTCTCTTGCGCAGATAACTGACACCATGAAGGTCGTGACTGTTAGGGTTTTGTCTTCACCTGCGTGTATTTGGGCTTCCTGAGGATATCTTGTCATCTGGGTCTATTGTAAATGTACCTGGATTATTGGCTTTACTCTCTAGTTGCTTTTAGTGGTGTTTTTTAATGTGTGCATTTAGAGACATTAAAAAAAAAACAACTTTGTTTCCATCCCCATCCCTTCAGCACTTGGTGAAAAGATCAAATAAAAAATCAGTTCTGTGGCTATCAATCCCCTATTATGTTTGATTCGTTTTTTATTATTATAAATTGGCTCTTGATAAGTACTTAAGCGTTTTTTCCCCCACTTATTCCTATTGAATAGCCTGCAGCTTGGGGCATGTAACCAATACTATTTGGATAGGTTATCTTCTCCATGCATAAGTATCTATACCAAAATTAATCCAGTCAGTATTTATTAAACTTATGTGGGTAAAATACTCTCTTAAGTGCCAGGGATACAACAGTGAAATACTCATACATGTTGGCCCTCATTTTCATTTGAGAATTCAATTAGATAGTAACAAATGATGAGGGAAATTAATTTATTTGGATTTACTTGTTATGGATTTAACACATGCATAAAGCATTGTGGTAAACTCTGAAGATACAGTGGTTTATGAGACACAGTCCTTATGTTCAAGACCTTAATGTGTTATAGGGAAGACGGCTGAGTAAACATGCAACTTGCACGTTGTAAGAGCCGCTGAAGGGTAGATATAGGAGCACTAGCTTTTTACAAGAAGCAGAAGGGAGGGAAGATTATGTTGTGCACAGTTTGGAGAATAAGTCTAGCTCCTCAAAAGCCCCTTATTGATTTTTGAGTTTATTTTCCCATGCATCAAATTGTACACTGCTACAAAGTAATGTTTAAAACTTGGGTAACTTACTCCATTCTCTCTAAAGTAATCACATATTTTATTTCTTCCAGTTGACCCTTTGGAGAGCAGTTTTACACTGTTTTTCTTAATAAGACTCTAGACTAACAGATGTAAAACGAGGTGAAGTTATTACAAATGTAGGTTGAAAAATTCAAAAGGAGCTGAGGAGAAAATACATCATTAAAAATCTTTTTATTTGGGGGCACCTAGGTGGCTCAGTTGGTTAAGCATCCGACTCTGGATCTCAGCTCGGACAGGTCATGATCTCACGGTTCATGAGATGGAACCCCACATTGGGCCCTGCACTGACAAGGCAGAGCCTGCTTGGGGTCCTCTCTCTCCTCTCTCTGCCTCTTCTGGGCTCGCTTGAGTTCTCTCTCTCTCTCTCTCTCTCTCTCTCAAAGTATATAAACTTTTTAAAAATTCTGTTTATTTTATTTGAGTTTCTTTACTGTACTTACTTGGGGGAAAGAAACCTGTCTGGATTTTATTTCCACATATATGTGTGTATGTATATATGTATTGACAAATTAACTGAATTCATGGAGTTCCTAGGCTAATGGTAATATTTTTCTCTTTAGATCCTATACAGTGGTCCACAGACCAAGTCCTGCATTGGGTGGTTTGGGTAATGAAGGAATTCAGCATGACTGATATAGACCTTACCACACTCAACATTTCCGGAAGAGAATTATGCAGCCTCAACCAAGAAGATTTTTTTCAGCGAGTCCCTCGGGGAGAAATTCTGTGGAGTCATCTGGAGCTTCTTCGAAAATGTATAAAATTTGAATTATTACCTATTTATGTTGTAACTTCAGTTTAATTTTATTTCTGTATAACTTTGTCTTCACTGTTCATTGTGATCATTGATAAAAACAATAATAGTTAACATTTAATTGTATAAGGCTCTGCTGGGAGCTTTATGTGTATCATCTCACTTAATTCCTCTACTAATGCCATAAATCCTTACTTTCCCTATTTTTTTAGACAGGAAACTGAGACTTAGAGAGCTCCATAGGGTATAGGGCTAGGGAGTGTCAGAGCCAGGATTCAAAACCAGGCTGACGAACACTAGAAATCCGAGTTCTTAAGATGCTATGCTGTACACTGAGCTCTCTTCATACATTTTAGTCGTTGACTTTTGTTTAATCAGTCAGTCCTTTACTGTTCATCTTCTAGAAATTTGAGATTGTCTGCAGATGTTTTCCCTCTTTCTTTTCATCATTAGTGGAATTAAATCTTCTACAATTTCTTTTAATTGAATGGGATCCTAAGAGAAAAAAAAGTGTAAGTATGCATCCCTCCATCTTGAATTGAAAGCAGCTGGTTATAAGTGTTTCCATGTTAGCTCATAGACGTTATCATTATAATTAATTGACTATATGCAGAAATTAGAAACTACTTGGCTGACCAACAAAAAGTTCAAATACGTGTTATTTTGTTTGAATTTTTTTCCATCTTAATCCACTTTAATCCAACAGTGACTACCTGTTAAACTATCTTAGCAATAACCTGTTCCCTAAACCTGGTTTCGAGGCCAGATGTGCTAGCCAGACCCACATACTTTGCAGTATGTGTGAATAGGACAAACTCTGCCTTTGCTTTTATGATGGCGTATAAAGATACCTGGTAGGATTTATTCTAGTATGTGCCCAGTGAAGGAGCAGCTCAGGTTGGAGGGATTTTACATAGTAATTGACTGCCCTGGGAGTTTCACCAGGTGCATTCTCTGCTGCAGAGTAAGAAATGAGCTCTGGAGAGAGGCATTTTCCTTCCCTGGTTATATTCATAGTTTCTCTCTTTTATGGAAACTCTTAAATATTAGAGGAAAAACATATCTGTGACACTGAAAGACTTACTACATTCATTACATTTACAGGGTTTATTTCCAGTTTTTCTTATTAGATAAAGAAATTAAATGTTCTGGTGGAAGTTTTGCCCTTGATATTACAGTGTTTTTTTCTCTGCTGTGCCTTTCAGATAAATAAGGAAAACTCTTGAATTGTTTCAGATTTTAGCACATGAGTCATGTTTACTGAAATGTTTTCTTATAAGAACTCTGAAGATTAAGACAGGACACAGTGCTTAGACTACAGTTTATTTTTCTCAAGTTGGTGGGTTTTGCCGTCTCCCCCAGGACAGCACTTTGTTGGGATTATCTGCTTTTCCTCGCGCTTCTCATTCTGTAAAGCTTATTGCTGGTATGGGGAATGGAGGAATCTCCCGTATCTCTCTTCATTCATTTTCTTGAAGTGGAATGGGTCTTCCTCAGAAGAACTCTGCTCTGGAATTTTATTTTCAAAAGTAACAAAGCCCCACAGCCTAGATAAGTATCTTGCAAATTCCTTATCTATCCATGGTTCTTTGCTTTGTCCCATCTGGTTTGGGATCCTAATGCGCAGCTCAGAATTGGGGGATTAGTAGGTTGATAATGTAAGACTCTTTATGTAATTCACAAGCCTCATTTCCCAGAAGAGGCTGCTTTGAGCACAGTCAGGTACTCTGGCCCCTGTGGTGGGGGGCAGTCTCTAGCGGATGTCTAATCCAGCATCTCATCCTCAGCAGTGCTCCTTCAAGGAGAAAGAAGAGCTGCCGCACAGATAGAGCTCCCTCTTCTGGGCTCATGTCAGGCTCCGCCCGCCCCCCCCTCCCCCCCCCCCGCCTCCACTTTCCTGCAGTTCCTCAGCAGGTAGCATCCAAGTCTATGGAAACCTGATGGGTTACTAACACTTTTGTGTGGTCTTTGTGAAGCAGTGCGTACCTCAGGGTGTGCTCGGTTTCCGGGGGGCTTTCTTTAGGAAAAAGAATTGCCTTATATTGTTAGTGTCTAAACTGTCCTCATAAAATGGTTTCATTTCACCTAGAATGCTGCCTCTTAGGACTCTTCTTTTGTACATGGCCAGGATTTGAGGGCTTCAGTAGAGGAATATGATATTTAGCCTGTATGGTCTTGGACCATATGTTCAAAACCTTCCTTCCCTGTGTTGTGCCTTAATCTTGAGAGTTACCAGGAGACAGACCAAACTCCATTCTGAGACTCAGAGATTAGAAGCTGATCTTACATGTTGGTGACACATATGCTTTGCGATGGTGACTCCCTCTTTTGCCTCTTTTTTTAAATATATTTTTTAAAATTTTATCTTTGAGAAGAGTGCGTGCAAGCAAGCGCATAGGAGCGGGGAGGGGAAATCGCAAGCGGGCTCTACGCTGTCAGCACAGAGCCCAATGCGGGGCGCAGTCTCAGGACCTGAGATCATCACTTGAGCTGAAATCAAGAGTCAGACGGGGCGCCTGGGTGGCTCAGTCGGTTAAGCGTCCGACTTCAGCTCAGGTCATGATCTCACAGTTCATGGGTTCAAGCCCCTCATTGGCTCTGTGCTGACAGCTAGTTCAGAGCCTGGAGCCTGCTTCAGATTCTGTGTCTCCCTCTCTCTCTGACCCTCCCCTGCTCATGCTGTCTCTATCTCTCTCTCAAAAATAAATAAAATTAAAAAAAAAAGTCAGACGCTTAACTGACTGGGCCACACAGGTGCCCCTTTTTAGGTGAGGGCATCTATGTTCCTTGAAACCACAAATGGAACAATTTCAGTTTCAGTAGCAGTTTGCTTCTTCAAGGTATCCTTATGAAATTTAGGGAAAAATCTACAAATATAAGGCATGGAGTTTTCTTCAAGAGAGACCACAGTTCTTTAGGAGAATGCTCAGAACTAGGAATCTGGATGAAACAGCTTCTTCAGTTTCTGGAAAGTTAAGCTTTGTTTCATGCATTGTGCTTTTTTTTTTTTTTTTTAGTTTATTAATTTACTTAGAAAGCACAAGTCATGGAGGAGCAGAGAGAGAGGAAAAGAGAGAAAATCCTAAGCAGGCTCTGCAGTGTCTGTACAGTCGCAGGGCTCGAACTCACGAACTGTGGGATCATGACCTGAGCCGAAGTCAAACATTTAACCAACTGAGCCACCCAGGCGCCCCAGGCATTGTGCTATTTGAAAGCATTTTTCTTTAATCCTCACAACAACCTTATGAGGTGGGAGATGGGGATATCTCATTTAAACATGAGGAAATTAATGTTTAAGCTGGTTGAATAATTTACCAAAGTCACACAGCCAGTAAGTGAGGGCTAAGATCAGAACCAAGAGCTATTGAGGCCAGTCCCATATAACTGTATAAACCCCCAAATTCAGGGCCCCCAAAGAAAGCTCCCATCTGACAGATAGGGTTTAGACCTCTTTTTAGCTTCCTGGCCCTTTCCAGCTCTGTGTGTCTGGAACCGGCTCCTGGCATGGTGCCTGAAGTCGTGCTGTGTTGGGTGCCCAAGCTCCAGGACTCACTCAGTATAAAGATGCTTGCTGGTAGGAACAATTTCAAGAGACAAGATTCCAATATATGATGAGCACTCAATAGGTTGAAGTATGAGAGACTGGGAAATAGGAGCTCTTGTTTAAGAAATAAAGAATAGGGTGGCTCGGGGGTTGAGCATCTGATTTCAGCTCAGGTCATGATTTTGCCTTTTGTGAGTCCAAGACCCACATTGGGCTCGCTGCTGTCGGTGCAGAGCCCACTTTGTATTCTCTGTTCCCCTCTCTCTACTGCTTGTATGCTCGCTCTCGCTCAAAAATAAACAAACCTTTAAAAAAGAAGAAAGAAAAAGAAGAGCATTTGAGTAGAGAATAGCAACAGATGAGTGATGAATGGTTCTCTAAAGGGTTATATTAGGACTTTTTACAGTGTAACTCTTGGGGGCGCCTGGGTGGCTCAGTCGGTCCAACTTGGGCTCAGGTCATGATCTCACAGTCCGTGGGTTCGAGCCCAGCGTTGGGCTTTTTGCTGGTAGATCAGAGACTAGAGCCTGCTTTGGATCTGTGTCTCCCTCTTTCTCGGCCCTTCCCCTGCTTGCTCTCTGTCTCTGTCTCTCAAAATAAAGACATTAAAAAAATTTTTTTAAATAGTATTTACAATGTAACTCTCATAATGAGAACTATATTTGTAGCCATTATTAAATTATTTCACTCACTTGTGACTTTAGGACCACTACAGTTTTATTAAACATTTAGCTACCTTTAAGAAGGAGCCTTTTTAAAGTTAAAGCAATTTTATTCAAAACTTTTATACAATCTGTTAGAATAGTAAATTATGAAGACCTCTTAGTTATCTTGACTGAGAACATACATCTAAAGAATGTTAATCTAAGAAATTTTGATGTGGTGTACGGTCTCATCTTTGATCTGATCATGAAAATTTCCCTGTTTTACATAGTTTTATACAGAAAGACATTTAGATACAGATATTTATGTTTAGAAAACCATGATTCTCTGAATAACTTTTCTTAACATTCAGAGAATTAGAGCTTTCCATCTGTTACTTCTCTTAAAAATATTTTTTCCTTGCAGAGTGACTGTCAAATATTTCTTAGGTTATTGTGCCAATGAGTTTTGTTAAACGCTTTGCCTTTTTGGTTGGTTGGTTGGTTCGGTTGAGTTTTACTACTGTGAGTTTACATTTCTGGGTGTAAATATAAACACAAATTTTTGTGTGTTCCTCAGATGTGCTGGCAAGCCAAGAACAACAGATGAATGAGATAGTTACGATTGATCAGCGTGAGTATTCATGCACGTGATATGTTGCCCATTTGTCAATAAGAAAATTTTTTTAAAATTTTCTGCAAGGTAATAAAAAGAAAAATTAATTTTAAAATTTTTTATGAAATGTTTTAGACATACCAAGAAATGAAGTATAGCCATCTATGTATACCTCTGTAAGAATTAAAACTTCGTATATATCAAGTGTACCTGTTATAGGTCGCATTTTAGATGACTATCCTGAATCTGGTGTTTATTACTGTGCATGTTTTATATCTTTATCAACTAGGTAACCACACTTTATAGTATTACTTTACACATATTTAAACTTTTTTGGTAAAATGACCATAAACTGTACATACCCCTTTGTAACTTACTTTTTTGTTTGACAGGAGAACACTTGGCAGTGGAATTTCATTCCTTTTCATTGCTGTTAAACATTGTTAAAACTTGGTGACTGTCACTGAAGGAGTGTTTGCAAGCTTGAGTGTGAGAGCCTCTAGTTGATCCCAGGGGTTCTCCACCGCCAGCTTGATTAGGGGTTTCCGGAGCTTTTCGCAGTGGTGGCAGGGCTTTGCTCTCACCGGCGCTGCACTGGAGTCCTCGCTTGTCCCTGTTTTCTCCAGCATTTGATAAACTGTTGTTAATGAAGAAATATTTTTAAAACAAGTGTTTTCATAATTCTTTGTCTAATGTATACACACCACCAAGTTAATTCAAAACAAGACCAACTCTTCTTCCTCAAGTTAAGACTCGCAAACCATAGAGCAAACCTCATACCTTATCCCCTGAACTTTTTTGGTAGTTTTGCTCAAAACTGTTGTGGATTAGGCTTTTTTGAAAGGAGGCCTTTTGTAGAGCTAATTAGAGGGGTATTAGTAAAACTAATTGCATTCTGTGTCTTTCAGTAATTTTTTTCAGTGCTGTTTTAAAGGGAAAATAATTTCCCCCTGTGTTTCCCTGCAGCTGTGCAGATTATTCCAGCATCAGTGCAGTCTGCTACCCCAACGACCATAAAAGTCATTAATAGTAGCACAAAGGCAGCTAAAGTACAGAGAGCCCCGAGGATTTCGGGCGAGGACAGAAGTTCTCCTGGGAACAGAACAGGTATCTTTGCGTTATCTAATGGTATTCTTAAAATCTGTTAAATTATGTGTATTTTATTTCGCTGCATGAAAATGTGAATATGGTATTTCCCTGGCAGTATTTCAACAGCATTTGTTAAAAAAAAAAAAAAAAAACCAACTCCAGCTGTGTTTCCAGCATGGCTGGGGATGACCCGGGGAATCTGCTTGTTGTCTCTGGCCTGCTCTGGATCCGTAGCACCGTGGTCAGCACTTGTCCCTCTGGTCCGTGCAGGAAACAACGGCCAAATCCAGCTGTGGCAGTTTTTGCTAGAACTTCTTACTGACAAGGATGCTCGAGACTGCATTTCTTGGGTTGGCGATGAAGGCGAGTTTAAGCTAAATCAGCCTGAACTGGTTGCACAGAAATGGGGACAACGTAAAAATAAGCCTACAATGAACTATGAGAAACTAAGTCGTGCATTAAGGTAGGCATTTATTATTATTATTATTATTATTATTATTTCTTTTTAACATTAAGCCCTTCTAAAAAATGACTAAACAAAGCTAAAGTTTTTACGTTTTTGTTAAAAATGACTTTTTACAAAGATCTTTAGTGATAATTTTGAGGAACATAGTTGTTTCCTTAAAAGATGGTTCCAAGCTTAATTGTTTTTATCTGGTTGAAAAGAATATACTTAACAGTTTAAAACTAACTGTTTAATCTCTGATTTTTCTGGCATTTACCTAACAGATAAAGATGCTGTTATTTGCATAGATGAACTGAGTGTAAAGTTTAGCAAAGAGGCAGATATTTTCTCTTTCTATAATTAGGTGCAAAATGTTGACCCGTTCCTCTATTTTTTCTTCCCCTTCAACCTGCCTAACTCTAAATATCCCACCTTCACACTGAATTGGAATAGAATACAATTATTTATAACATCTTATAACTAGTATCACTTTTTTTGACAGAATTACTCTCAGAAATTATGCTTCCTACAGTGGGAAATTCAGTATGTGCATTTAAGAAGTGCATCCTACTGAGAAGTAGGATATATAGAAATATCGTGGAATTACTGTCTTTTTTTGGAAGAGTGAATGTGTGTAAAATAGCTTTGCAATTTATTTCTGTATTTCTAAATAATTTGGTTTTACTGTGACTTCATGTTTCACTTGGACATTGTGAATTTCACACTGAGATCATGATTTACCTCCGATCACTACACACACACACACACACACACACACTTTCTCCCCTCTCTTGTAATTACAGAATTATACAGAAATTGTGGGTAGGTCCGGTATTCACTGTTATAGAATCATGATCATGTGAGTACTATTACATAGTTTACCACAATTATTTTATTTTCCAAAATAACTGATATCCTTATACTCCTAAGTAACTAAAATGCTTTGTTTTCAAAGTGCTTATCGCGTATTTAGTCTCACACACTTTGCCAGCTGTCTAAAGACCCTTCCCATAGAATTAGAATTAAAACTGTCTTTTTTTTTTAATGTTTTTATTTATTTCTAGGAGAGAGAGAGAGACAGCGTGAGCAGGGGAGGGTCAGAGAGAGAGGGAGTCACGGACTCTGAAACAGGCTCCAGGCTCTGAGCTGACAGTCAGCACAGAGCCTGACGCGGGGCTCGAAACCATGAACCGCGAGATCATGACCTAAGCGAAAGTCGGATGCTTAACCGACTAAGCCACCCAGGCGCCCCTAAAACTGTCATTTTTGATGGTTGATATGATTGTATATTTACAAGTCCCTTCAAAATTACAGATAAATTATTAGAATTAGTCATTAAAATGTCAGTTCTTCCCAGATTGATATTAAGTTTCAATGCAGAAACCATCTGGATAAGTTGTTTTGTAGAACTTAACATGGTGATTGTCAGATGTATGTGGGAACATAAAGTGCGCGGTAAGCAGGGCACCTGAGGAAGGACAGCAGAGTGGGAAGTGCTAGGAAGCTTCGACGGTAAGTGCGTGGTTTTCTTAGAGAGAACAGACTGCAGATCACAACAGAGAGCCCACAGAGAGCCAAGTACATAAGAGGACTTGACTTAAAGATGGTAGTGGGGGAAAGACCTGCTTTTCAGTCAGCAGAGCCGGGACAGTTGACCATCCATGTGGAACTTGCGCCCTTCTTCATACTTTACTAGAGATCGGTTCCATGTAGCAAATCAATAGGAAAACTAGAAAAAATAGACAAGAGACTTAAATAAACACTTCGGAATTAGATTATACTAAATGTCCAGTGACCGTATGCCATGGCACACAACCTCGTTCGTAATCAGGGAAACACAGTTGGAAACCACGGTAAAATGGCACAGCACGTATCTCAGAATGGCTGAAATGAAAAAGATCAGTGGTACCAGGTGTCGAGGATATGGAGCACGGAGTGCTTCAGCACTTTTTGGTCGGGATATAACCTGTGACCCAGCGGTTTCTCTCCTAAATGATCACCAAGCAGAAGCGTCTGCAGATGTCTGCACACATGCTCATAGCAGCAGCATTTACACTATCCAGAAACCAAGTATCTGTCTGCAGGACGGGACAGAACTGAATTGTGGTAAACAGGAGTGTACCGTGTGGCCAAGAAAGTAACTGAAGCTATAAGCGCTGATACAAATGTAATGTTCAGTGAAAGAATCAGACCCAAAAGGGTGTATATTATATGATTACATTTATAGTGTAAAGTTCAAGAAACAGGAAAACTAAATTGCAACGTTTGGGTGATGAGAATATAAATAGAAGCTGTGAATTATCATCATGGAACAGGATTGGATTGTGTTTACCTTTTAGAGTAAAGAGGCGGGGGTGATTGGGTTGGGCCGTGGAGGGCTTCTGGGGGCTGGCAGTGTTCTGTCTCCTGACCTAAGTCGTAATTGACAGGCGAACATTCACTGTAATCAGTCACTGAGCTGTTCACTTGTGTGTGCTTTCTGTTTATGTAATTCACAATTTAAAGGGTGAAAGAAACAGATTTCAAAAAGAGAGAGAAAGCATATCCATGACAATACAGGTGTTGTGCTCTTTTCTCCTTCTTTTCAGGGAAGGTGTTAGAGAAGTGATGCTGCTCTTAGTACGCTTGTGTGAGGCACCCACTAGATTGAAAGACATATGAAGTAAAATTAAAATTTGGCATTTGTATTTTTCATCACTTATTACCAAGAGACAGAAGACTATAAATCCATTTTCCTCTTTGAAATGTAAAACTGCTTTCTTCTTTTATTTTACTTTTTTCTCAAGTGTCTATCTGCTAACAGCCTTACATATTATGTAGAAATTTTCTTGAGAAATTGAAATACCAATCTCATGTTAAACTGGATGACAGGCATTTGATGGTTTGTGGGCTGAGATCTAAATTCTGTATTAATGTGATTGGCACAAAAGGAAACACAAGAACTATGCCCAGTGTGTATCATTTCTTACTGAGAGAGTCAGCATGACTGACTGTTACACTTTTGTTCTTCTGGAATTAAAGGAAGTGACTTAATTTCCTGCATGCAAATCAGCCTTTTCATTAATGGACTCCTGATTAAATTGAATGACTTATAAGAAAACTCTGCTGAATGCGGTAATTTACACCGCCTGTGCTTTGGCAGATAGCCCTTCCTTTCCTAACTGCTCACTGTCAGAGTAGTACAGATGGGCAGTGCAGTTTGAAAACAAAGCCTGCACAGTCCACCTGCCCAGAAAAGTCTTTACTTACCTATTCCCCTATTACTGGAATTGGCAATGCATAACAGTAAATAAAGTCTGTTTTCCAAAGTATAAATCTAGCTCTGTTTCTGTTTCCATCTCCATACAGAGCAGCAGTAAGCTAGACTTCTGGAGGGATTTCCCACAAATTTACCTTTGCACTATAGAAACCTTGTTTCTTTATGATGTCTTCTTTCCTGGTTTTCTGTATCCTGTCTTTCTTCTATTTACTTATACTTTTTTTTTTAATGTTTTTATTTCTAGGAGAGAGAGAGACAGCGTGAGCAGGGGAGGGTCAAAGAGAGAGGGAGTCACAGACTGAAACAGGCTCCAGGCTCAGCTGGCAGTCAGCACAGAGCCCGACGCGGGGCTCGAACCCACGAACTGCGAGATCATGACCTAAGCGAAAGTCGGGCGCTTAACCGACTAAGCCACCCAGGCGCCCCTATTTACTTATACTTTTGAGGCTCCATGTTAGATTTGGAAAACTTCTCTGAAAGGAGAGCCTTTACATATTAAAATGGTGACAGTGAAGGTGTGGCTACATGATAAAGGATTTTGTACAGTGCAGAAAAGAAGGGGACATTCCCACAATCCATAGAATATGTATATTAAAATTTTCTTCGTATTATGTGGGTATTAATTATTGACATAGCTTATATTTTATAGAGGGCTATATGCCAGTCGTTGTGTGCTAAGCATGCACTTTGCAAAGATAATCCTCTTAATTCTAAACAATTCTGTGAGGGTAAGTGCTGTTTTTAACCTCATTGTATAGGTGGGGAATAAAAACTTTGAGGGGCACCTGGCTTGCTCAGTCAGTACAGCATCTGACTCTTGGATTTCAGGGTCATGAATTCAAGCCCCACGTTGGGCGCAGAGCCTCCTTTAAAAAGCCAAACAGAAACAACTGAGAGAAAATGTGGCTTTCCTGTGGTCACAAAAGCACAAAGGTAGTAAGTCGAGATGCTGGATTTTGAATCTTGACATTCTGACTCCAGGCCCTTGTTCTTAGGTTTATTACTGCTCATAAGGGTTTTTGTTTTGTTTAACATTGTTTATGTATTTTATCATAATTGTTGAAATATGGTTTGAATATTTAGTATATAGAGTTTTGAAACACTGAGCATTGACATTTTAGTAAGTCCTGTTTTGAAGTTTGCTTGGATTATAACTTCAGTGTTAATTGCTATTGAGGTAGATACAATACTAGGCTCCTGCTTATGGAAGAATCTGTGAAATATCTTAAGAAGTCCAAATTCTGTATTTTTTATATAGTCCTAATATGTCTTTGTCTTTTTAAAGGTATTATTATGATGGGGACATGATTTGTAAAGTTCAAGGCAAGAGATTTGTGTACAAGTTTGTCTGTGACTTGAAGACTCTTATTGGATACAGTGCGGCAGAGTTGAACCGTTTGGTCACGGAGTGTGAACAGAAGAAACTAGCAAAGATGCAGCTTCACGGGATTGCCCAGCCGGTCACAGCAGTCGCGCTGGCCACTGCTTCTCTGCAAACGGAAAAGGATAATTGAGCCCAGGACCTTCTGGGAGTCCAAGGTCTTTCTTAAACGTTAGAGCGAGTCTTGCTCTCACCTTTATTACTGAATTTGAATCTTCTTTTATTTCTAGACTGTACAATCTGATGCATGATTTTTTTATAAATATTTCATACTCTTGTGAATTTGGATCTTTTTACTTTGAAGCATATATTTTAGAATATGTGTATGTTAAGGATCACCACAATGTCTTCAGCGTGAAGTCAGGTTCATTGTGGGATAGTTTGTTAACAGTCAGGAAAGCTAAACTGGTCAGTATTAACGTCTAGCCCTACCAAAAATAGCCAGTAGCATCTGAGGATGAAGAATAAATGAAGTATCTCCAGGAAACAGTCTGGCTTAACTATTTTTGAAATTATAACTGTTTCCCCTCTCTGCTGCTTTAGATGTTGCTTTACATAGAACCAGAAAGTGGAATTTTTCACAGCTAAAGCATGTGTGCCTGTTTCATCTAATCAAGCAGAGCTAAAATATTCATATCAAATAAAACTATAAGATTAATAAGTTACTAAACTGAGAGTATCAAGTTATTAAAGTAATTTATATATTTGCAAGCAGAAGACAATAAGAAGTTAGCTGGCAGACGAGCACTGCTGAGGAGGGAGATCCAGGTTGAAATCTGGCTTAACTGGCTTAAGCTAATTTTAAGGATTTTCTGTACAGATTATTCATGATGTGAGGCCAAGAATTTAAATTATTTTAAGAGAGGCATTTAATTCTAATAAACCAGCTATTACAAAAATCCTGAAATGATCTCTGTTTTTCCTGTCAGAGATTTAAAAAACTGAAAAGGTATACCTCAGCCAGAAAATAAAAGTTTGGTTTAGTTTGGTTTGTTATGGCTTGCTTTGTTTCTTTGTTTCTTTGTTTTCCTTGCCCTGTTCTGCCTGCAGGTGTATTATGCAGAAGCAGCTTATATAGTCATTGTGTTTCTGATCAGATGAAGCCTTTAAATCTGTCTGTAGTCAGCCTTACCTTTCAAGACAACAGCACATTACTTGCCAGTAGATTTGAAAGGAAAATTCTGACCTCCAGTATAGGCAGGTCTTCTCCCAAAACAAAATTTCCCATTTATTTAATTTTTTCCTTTTGAATATTATATATGAGTACACATATATCTGTATACATGTCCAGTTGACCATTGTATATATATCTGTACACCTGTATTTGAATACATAATGATATTCAAAAGGAAAGGTATTTTAAAAGATACCTCATTTTAAAAAATGTTAATTAAATGATTCACCTATATATGAAAATGTTATCGCAAGCTAACACTAAACAGAAATCACTAGGAATGTCTTTCTTTTTTGCTTGATTTCCTTTCTTTTTTCTTTCTGTTTTTTGTTTTAAGGTATCATACATGAATAATGATACCAGATACTGGCAGAGAGCCTTTAATCCTCTTATATTAGAAGATTGATTCTCAGATATTTCTTTATGCACCTTCTCCCTCATCATTTCCTTTAAATCCCTCCCCCTCCAGAGCTGTATACAAGCTCAGCTGATGCGTCTTGTCTAACCCATAGGAAAGGGCCGTGGTAGTGAGTCACGGAGGCCTTGCTTAGCAGCCACTGCTATAGGTACCAGATGGTGCTTTGCAGTGAACTGTAGCAGGCGGGGATTTTAGGAACAAGCGGGAGAGGAAGGATCTTCTTCCCTGGTCGCCTCGGATCGTGACATGAAGTGCTGTGCTGTAGGACTGCGTTAATGTCGGTTCCTTTAGAGTATTAAGTCGTTTAAGACCCTCCAGTAGCTGCCTAAAAAGAGTAAAAACTTGTAACTTCTATTTTTACCTTTTTATAAACACATATGGAATAGACTGACAAACTATTAGTTTAATTTGGGCACTGTGACTGCAAGAGTATCTGAGTAGAATAACAATATGAACTAATGTACAGAACTCCAGGTTCAGATAACATAGACCACTAAAAAGGTTCTGCCCCGTCTTCTGGTCTGGAGAATTGACATGTTGCTTATAGTTTTAAAAATATAAAAAGGTATACTCTTTCTCGTATATTATCAAGAGCTTAGAATTTCTCACTTTAAGATTTAAACTGCTTTTGCAGAGACATTATTTTAAAGTTTTAGCAAAGATGACAGACTTCCTCGATGTTGCAGCTTTATGTATATGTATATTTTAAGGCAAGGAACACCCACATTCTTTTAGATCCTAAAGTCAAACTATTGCTTCTTTTCTCTAAGTCCTCAGGTTCCTTTTTTTGAAAATACATCCTATCCATTTTTCTTCCTTTGGTAGTTTTTATTCCCCGTCATAACTTGAACAAGGATCATTCTCCTACAGGATCAGGTGCTATTTCTTTCTTCTTCTGTCTTCATCACTTCATATACTGTATCATAGGTTAGTTAAGTCATGAGACTGATTTCTCCAGTGGAGTCAAGAAACCTCAGTGATTTTTTTTCTCATCTGACATATTAAACTGTTCCCATTGTCCGTGTTGAGGTTACAAATTGTCAGAAAGCCAGGTAGTCTTTTCTTTTATTGCAAGATAACTTGTGTTGGAAAAGAAACTAGAATTCACGCCATTGACTCTTTGCTGTTTTTGTGAGTAAATTTTCCATAGGGGACTTTACAGTATACTTAAAGGGAGGAAGGTAAAAATCATTGGCCATCTTTTGTACCCTCTAAGTACAAAAACAAGGAAATGTCCGTTTTTGTTTTAAAACTTGTTTTCCCGTTGAGGTTCTTCCTGAGCCACCATTCATGCATACCTAGCCTGAAGTTTGGAAATCTGTGTTTCCATAAGAAAATCAGACACATGAAACAGAATTGCTGTATGGTTGATCTTCACATGGACCGACTCAGCACGTTCACATGTGTGCTTCCATGTCCGTTAGTTACTTCTTTTTCTCTCCTGATTAACGGGGACACTCAAGTATGACACTCCTTTAGAGGGCTGTGCCTCCCAGTACTTTAGTGAGGTCAGCTGTTTTCCATATTTTTCATGTTATGCTACCACCTTTTAAAAAGAACTAGCATATCTTTGAAATAGCACAAAAATGTTTTAAAATTCATAATTACCAAACAACCTGTGACTAACTTAATGTCTTCACATCTAGAAGGTGTAAAAATATTGATATTTCAGTGATATTTCACTTGCTGCCAGAAAAAAAAAATATTCTCAGTCTTTTGTAAAAGGAAGGAGGATTTTTGCCTACATTTTTACTCTTTAAATAAAGACACTTATACGGTCATAATAACAATTATGTATTTCTTTGTGGGTTTTATTTTTTTTTGTAATTTTACATAAAACAGTTATTTTCTATTTTTACTCAGATAAAAAATATTTGTGCATAAAATGTAAAAATAGTAAAATGAGAAAAATAAAACTATTATACAGTATATTTCTGTGTTTTTGAATTTTTTTTGCTGTATAAAAAGTTCTCAAATTCCTGGGATATTAGGTTGCATGAAAATATGACCATCTACATCTGCTGTATCGTGCATATGAGTCCCATGTACTTTACTTAACTATCGATTTGGGAAGAACTAGCTCCAAGACTAAATTAGATGTTAGAGTTTAGTCTTTATTTTCTAAGTTTATTTATTTATTTATTTTGAGAGAGAGAAAGAGTGGTGAGGGAGGGGCTGAGAGAGAGAGAGAGTCCCAAGTAGGCTCCACACCATCAGCTGTCAGTGCACAGCCAGATGCCCGGGGCTCAAACTCAGGAACTGGGAGATCATGACCTGAGCCTAAGTCGGCTATTCAACCAACTGAACCACCCAGATGCCCCTAGAGTTTAGTCTTTATGAGAAAATAGATGAAATCGCATCCACGGAGCCAAACCAGTTAGGAACAGCAACAGAAGAAATGGTGACATGCAGGAAAGCATATGAAAAGCTGGTCAGCATTATTGGTCACTATGAAACAATCACAACGCAGTACCACTAAATGCTCATTTTAATTGTTAAAAATTTAAAAAGTCTCACAACACCAAGTGTTGGCGATGGCATGGACCAAATGGAAATTCTGCACATTGCTGGTGAAAATACCACACTACTTCGGAAAAGTTAAACACGTTTTTGTCACAAGCCAACAATTCCAATCCTAGGTGTTTACCTAACTGAAACAGTTACCTAAACAATGCCTATTGAAGGACTCGTATATTCGTGTTTACAGCAGCTTTATTCATAATGGCCCCAAACTATGAACAATCCAAATGTCCATCAACAGGTGACTGAGTAAATAAATTGCGCAATACCTATGCAATGGGAAAGCTACTCTTAAATAAAAAGAACTGAGCAACTCTAGGAAAGGCATATCTAATCTGTAAGGACAGAAGGCAGATCAGCGGCCACCTGGGGCCAGGGATGAGGGTAACTTCCTATACGGGGCACAATGAAATTTTGAGGGGTGATGAACATACCCTACGTTATGTTCTGTCGATGATTGCATGGCTGGAAAAATTTGCCCAAACTCATTTAAATGTACACTTAAAATGGCAAGCATGAGGATACATGAATTATACCTCAGCAAAGTTAAAAACTGAATTGCTAGAAAAGCAAAACTAAAAAGGCTAAAGTACATACCCAGGGGCACCTGAGTGGCTCAGTTGGTTAAGCGTAAGGCTTCGGCTCAGGTCATGATCTCACGGTTCGTGGGTTTGAGCCCCGCGTCGGGCTCTGTGCCGACAGCTCAGAGCCTGGAACCTGTTTCAGATTCTGTGTCTCCCTCTCTCTGCCCCTCTCCCATTCATGCTCTATATCTGTCTCAAAAATAAACTACAAAAAAAATTTTTTTAAATAAAGTACATACCCACTTTTTAAAAATTATGAGGCTTCAGAAACATGGGATTACTCTGTCAAATTGTTCTAATTGTCTTCTTGTCTGTCCTTGTCTGCCTGTGGACAGATAACAAACAGTTCACGTACTGACACTCATTGGTGGACCACAGTGATTTATTAGAGTATTTTGTCATTAAATGATGAGCATTGGTTTTAACTAAATGATTAAGGCAGTGGCGATGCCATGTATGAATATTTCTCTGTAATCCGAGAAAAGAGCTTTCTCATATCTGTAACAAGGTAATTGATTTTTGGGTCTTTACTCCATGACACAACATAACACCCAATTAATGCCTGTGCTATTTGTATAGATGATGTGACAGTAAATAGATAGGAATGGAATAGAACAATAGTTAAAAATAATAACCTGCTGGGGCGCCTGGTTGTCTCAGTCGGTGAAGCGTCCAACTTCGGCTCAGGTCATGATCTCGTGGTTCAGGGTTTGAGCCCTGCAGCAGGCTCTGTGCTGACAGCTCAGAGCCTGGAGTATTCTTTGGATTCTTGGGATTCTCCTTCCTCTTCCCCTCCCCCACTCATGCTCTGTCTCTGTCTGTGTGTGTCTCTCTCTCTCTCAAAAATAAACACTAAAAATTTTTTAAATAAAAGTAAGTTATTGATTACATCTATGAGCAACTCTTTAATTCATTTGCTTAGAAATTTATGCAAAAGATTTGTTCTATTATTCCCCATTCTGAAAGGAAGTTTCCTACTTCTGATGCTGGTGTCATTTCATGGATGAAAGGGTATGAAACAAATGTCATTAGCATGTTGATCAACTTAACATCGTTGCCTACCTGAACCAGAATGTTCATTTGTGTTTGTGTTTGAAGGATAAAGCTATGCATTAAGAGCCCCATAGTAGAATTCTTGTCTTCAGCTCTCAGATTACAAAATGAAGAGGATATTTTATTTTAAGGAAAGTTCTTTAAGTACAAACATCTACCCTCCTCTTCTTGTTGGCCTGAAATATAATGATTAACTGATTAAACAAATAGGAAGTTCCTAACACTATGTAAGGCAGCATGTCAAAGA